CCGATTCTGTCCAACATAGCTCCGTTTTGGCGCGAGCTCGTATGTTGGCCGTTGCATCGCACAGTGCTAGTCTGAAGATAGGATTGCACTACTATACAACTCTGTCCCTCTCTCGCCGCATGACCAAAATCGTGTATCGTTACTGCGCAGTGGTGTTCGTGCTGATCGTCCACGGATTAGCACCCCGCATTTGAGAGCCCACGTAAATGACCTACACAGTAGCCACATATGTTAGACGGGGTGTGGTAGTAGCTTGCGCGATGTACTACTGGCTGCAAGTGTGCATATAGGTATCAGGAGGGCACAGCTAGAGCTACCAACAGTACTCTGCATTAAGCTGTGGGCTTGGGTAGTTGCTGTGCCTTGAAAAGGATGGTGTATGGTGGCCTTTCGTTGCGGTTGTAGTTTGGTGTTAGATTTGTGTTGGTGGATTACTTGGCTGTTCGTGGGTCATTCGTGACAGGCGCGGCTTGTCGATTTGTCGGCAGGTGTTCCAATCAAGTGGTTGTGAGCGGACGATCTTGATTCGTGCTGCTAGAGAGAACGCGGCCATGCAAGCTTTTCGATGGCTCCTATAGACCTGTATCGGAGGGTGCTTCTTCTTGTAGTAAGAACTTTCTGCTCTTGTAGGTCGAATCTGGCCGGACAACTGGTGTCTGTGATTGCACCTTCTGTTACTCCACAATTATCCGATAAACCTTCGGTGGTTTACATTTTTTCGGGGTGCATTTTCCGAATCCTTTGTCGTGATCTGCTTGTATACTTGGTTGGGTCCGTGGTGGGTGGTGGCAACATTTCGTGTTTTTCTGTTGACCAGAGGAGAGGCTTCATTTCACTCAAACAAGATCAGCTCTCCTCTATGTCAATCTCAGTTTGTGGCTGTGATGCTTATCTAGGTGATTCGGAGGTATAATGGTATCACTCCCTGGTTGTGGCTCAAGCCGTCGATGTGTGTTGAGAGTCGGTTTTCAGCTGGGTCGAGTGTGGTGAAGTGTGTGTCAAGTTTAATGAGGGGTGCTTTTTTCTCAATTTAGTCGTATCGTGTTGGCCAAGCGCATCTCTGCTTGTGTTTGTTTGTGCGGCTGGTTCTTCGTCATTGTCTTGTTTGGCTGCGATCGGTTTTCGAGGTTGCGATTTCGTTGGGGTTTGTGTTTGTTTTTGAGTTTTTGGTGAGAGGTCGTTATAAAGTTTAATGTTTTGGAATTGACTCGTTCTTCTCTTGGGAGGGTTGGCGCGGCATCAAGACTCGATGTCCAGGTCCTTCGGCATAATGTCGCGGCTATCAATGGGGTGCTGGATCTCTTTGGCGCATCTTCTCGTTGGAGTGCGGCTTCTTGTCGTCATTTATTTGTGGACGATGCTTCCGTCACCTTTGATCTGAGTTCGGCCAGTTGAGTTCGTCTACGGGGTTTCTGGCATTCGAGTAGACTCTTCATTTTGCTGGATTTAGAACATCGACGTGGTCTGATATTCCCTTCTGATAAGAAGACTGCATATGAAAGAATTCTCTGTTTGGGTGGGTTTCTATGGAGGTTTGTTTTTGGGGAGTGTTTGTTGTTTTGTGGGTGGTTGTGTATACTAGTGTCTTCTTTGTGTGGTTCCGGTAAACAAGCAGCATAAGGTTCGCGCGTGTGTGGGAAGAGCCCACTTTTACAGCCATTATGCTGGTTATTAGAAGCGAAGGCTTCTGCTGTATTTCTAGAATCTCATATTGTCATTTTTAGAGCCCAATTTGGGCCCGTGTTTGGGGATATTCTGCAGACTTCTCCTGTCATCTGACGTTCTCAAAACTTAGGTGACATGTTAAGTGCGGGCGTCAGCTCCTATTATGCTTATCTCTCTACTGCTTGTTGTCCAAACTGAACATATGTTGCGTGTTAGTTACGATAGAGGTTCTAGATAGTGATGAAGCTTGCGTCTGTGATGTTGTCAATCACTATGCTTACTCAGCAGTGTCAGTTTGGCCAGATTATAGAAGAAGAGCGTAGATCGAAGGTTTTTGTCGTCTATTTGTTCAGATTATGTGATCTGTCTGTGGATTCTCTGAATCACTATGTATAAAGCGACCTGTGGTTCTATATTCTGTATCTGTCGCCTCACAACTTCAGCCATTTTCCACTGTTTCAAGAAAAGCTTGGGGCGAGGGCCATCTGCAGGGCCTGTGGACAGGACTTGATAAGTCTGTGTATCCTTCGATTGAACATAGTTCAGGACGGCTTCAACGTTGCTCCTAAGTGTTGCTGGATCTGGGATGATTGAATTTGCCTCCTTCAACACCTCTTTAACAGTTGGTTCTCGCTTCAGCTTCTCCAACAGCTTCTCCTTTGCTCTTTCAAACTCTGCAGAGGTAACCATGAAAAGGGCACGAGACACTCTCTCTTGTAAGATGGGCCCCTTGGGCCCAACACCAAGCTAGCTAATGGGAGTTGAACACATGGCTTCTGGTGGCCCTCAAAGCACTGCAGCAGACCTCTTTCATCTCTGGCTTTGTCTTTTTGATGGACTTTCTCAGGACCCTGGCCCAATTTTTCATGTCTGCGAAGTTGTGGAGGAGTCCAACAGTTTGGCTTTGGTCAGACCGCCTTGCTTCGGAGCAGCCTTTCTCTTTCCAGTGGCATGTTGAAATGGCGCCATCGAACCAGCATAACTCCCTGTCTGAGCAAAGCTTGGCATGCTGGGGCCTCACCTACCCCTGAGACAGCGTTGCCCTGCCCTATCATGTTGAAGTGCATTCGATCGAATGATTCGGCAGCAGCTCGGCAACGTTGTCCGTGTTGGGGCGCTACCATAGTGTTTGATTGCATGCCTGACTGAGTTTGGAAGACTTCTTCCTGCTTTGTACTCAGTTTTTTTGAAGAATCCAACCACTGGTTGACCACACAGACCTGATAGAGGGACATGGGGCTCTGGTTCTGCTCCAATTGTTCTGAGGGCCGTGCATGGTGGTTGGGCTGGCAGATTGTGGTGTTGTCCTGCTGTCTCCTGGCAGCCTGATCCCAGGAGGCGTGGTTGGATTGACCACTGAAGCAATGGGCGCAACTGTTTCTTACTCGCACTCATCGTCGGATCTTGGATTGCGATGAATACAGCTTCCTCGGATTGCGATGAAAGCGGCTATATCCTCGGCTTGCGGTAAGTACCTCTGTGGCTACTGAATACGGATGGGATGACCTCGGTTGTATGGTCTTGCTTCACTATCTCGCTCAAATTCGAAATCCTCTGGACCGTTGGTAATCCTCTGGATGCATGCTCCGTCGGTCTTTCGAAAACAACACGAAAACAACACCACGAGAGACTGATCGAGCTGACACAGAGAAATCCGAAATGAAATGCGAAACACGACTGACGTCAGCCGACTGACGTCATCTCGAACGATTGATTCTGATTGGCTAATCTCCTCTACAGCCTCTACAGCGGTAGTGTACCGTGCTCTACAGGGGTAGGCCGATGTCGGCACGACGGTCCCGCTGTACTTTCTGTACCAATCGTTTGACCTTCTGTGGATCGAAATACCGTGTTTCGAAAATTTCTATTCAGTGAAGTGGAAAGAAACCCTCCCCCGCAGGGGGAGGGGAAGTTGAAAGAGAGGAGGAGAGGAGGAGGAAAGGAGGAGGTTCTTAGCTTTAGATGTCATGTCAACTGTAGCTTCCTCTAGTTTTTATGTATAGCTCTGCTTCCTCAAGTTTGCTCATGTTGCTATATATGGTGTGTGTTGACATCTGAGCCACCGGCATCTTCTTCGGGTTTGATTGATTGCCTTTGTGGTGGACCACTTGATTTTGTGACAGTGGATGGGAATGACAGTCTTGTAGGCGACAACCAAGTTTGCCACCAGTGCATTACGGTGAAGTTTGTTTGTTCTCAGCTCTGGGTTTCATTTGAGTCCATTCATGCAGCTTCCTATCAGCTAGCTTCGAAGCTTCTCCTGTCAAATCTTTGCGTTCCTTCACTGACTGCCTTTCACTCAAACCAAGTGAAACGAGATAGACATCTCTGTTGTCGTCTTCAACGGGCAATTCCTTGAATCGGTACAAAGCACCAATGTGGATCTGTAAAAGCATGAACGTAGAGATCCTCTCCAGAGATATCCTCAGGCTCGTATTGACTTGGTGGTATTCGCCCTAGCTTTGCACCAGTCAGTAGACAAGCTGGCTTTGCGCAGCTATTGGTTTGGTACAGCCATATCTTGTTGGTTGTTGTTGTTGTGGTTGTTGTGGTTGCTGCCATGCCGCCATGTAGGATTTTTTGCGATCGGCCAATGAGAAGGTTCCAGGTGGAAGTTGGCTGATCAATAAAAAACGTCCGAGCTACGCCATTCTCTACAGTGGCTCAGTACGTGGCAAACCAATCCACTACCCCATGCATGGTGTAAAAAGAATACCACAGATTTCCCACTTCACGGGATCGAAATTGCGTGTTTCTCTCGGGTTTTACTTGCAGGCCGTTCGTTAATGGTAGGTTTGGGCAGGGATTTCGGGAGGCTGGGGTCTCTGAATCTCTCTCTTCGGGAAGCTCATTGCTCGTCCCAAACTGACACGGCACCTTTTCTCCAGTCAAAGATATGCCTACAGCAATCTAGCTGTCGGTAGCTAGCTATAGCAATGGTTCCTGTAGCAACTCACTCACTCACTTTAACCTGGCTAGCTCTATGTCTGCTTACTTGTGCCGTTCCAGGCAACGATGGATTAGGATCCCCACGTGGGGTCTGACATACCGGTAATACGGTACATGTATGTATTACCGTAATGTGCATGCGGTAGGAAAGGGTGGATTGCTTCGATTCGATTCGACGACGAGCTGTCATCTTTGTTCTGATGTTTGCACAGACAGAGGGGTGCATCATCTGAATTGATCGGTAGAAGGATGATGAGAACGGTTCCAAAAAGATGATGACTTGATCCCAGGCCGTGACGGTGGCGTACTTCCTCAAGAGGAGAATCGCCGGTATCACCCGACCCTCAATCGCTGCTCGTACCGTGAGCTTAAATTGCTGACTGACCCTACCGAGCTTCCGTCGTCGTGGTGGTGTTGCTGGGTGCTTGTTTGCCACGCTTTTTCCGGGTCTTTTTCTCCTTTGGTTTTCGGGTATTCTTGCTCACTTTGGTGGCTTCCGAAAAGGTAATGTTAATGCCACTTTGTTGGAGTTGATCCAGAGTGCGCCACCACAAGTAAAAATCATTGCGTGGTTTTGTTTCTTCCCACAAATCATCGGGTTTGCGGTACGACCACGGCTTTTTCTTGCCGGTAAAGTGAGAATGATCCGCATACGGAGGGACACATCCCGGCCAGTCGGGGGCATACTTGTATGTGAACATCATGCAACTGCCGGGGGAAAAGTCAAACTGGGGTTGTGTGTATTGCGAGAAAGGACTGGTCTGGACCGAAGTGACATTGATGACCTTTTCCACAATGGTGGTCCCATTGGGGCCAGGACCAAAGTTGACAATCTTGCGAGAAAATATTTGGGTCATGCTGCGTAGATTGTATTTTGGATAGCTGTAGATCAGACCCTGGTCGGTAAAGGCGCCATGCTGAAGCAAGAAGATTGACATGTCGTCGTATTACGGAACGCAAACACACGGGTGAGTGAGTGGTGGACACGGCGGCAAACTCCAAAAGTAACGATGCCATGTTGGCCACACAAAACAGAGGATACTGAACCGGCTGATCAACTACCGGTTCAACTTACAAATTTCCATTTGGTCCCCTGTGTCTTTGGGTGGTTGGACTCGTACATGTCCGGTGGGACAATAGCATGTCCCCATCCCTGGACTTGATCAAACCATCGGAGTCTCTTGAGAGACTGAGGCGGCCGTAAGGCAATGATTCGTTGAATGTCCAGATAGGCCGTGGCATTGGGTCTCATCATGAAGAATCCTCCATTGGCCGGTTCCGTGTAGCCCGCCAACACGGCGTTTTCCTTGAGCAACGGGTTGGGACCATCCGACAATTCAAAGAGATAGTCGAGGTTGTTCATGGGCATGACGTCTCCATCGAGAAACAGGACCCGTCGGTATTGTGTCATGTTCAAAATGTACATTTTGTTGAGTTGATCGACATAAAAGTTGGCGCCATCCTTAGTTTGTGGCAAGTAGGTGACACGAATCCCCATGGTCTCCATCATTGCTTCATCCTCTTGAAGTAATCGTGTATGGTTGGATCCGTATTTCATTTTAATGACGGCATTGAAATCGGCCTTGGATCCAAAGTCTCGTAGTAGTTTGGCCGCCACGAGGATATTGGCCAAGTAGGACTTGTATGCCGGCATGGAGTGTTCCTTATCATCGGGATCGCAGAGCCAACTAAACATGGCATAGGTATAAGGGCTACCCGTTTCGTCACTGACCCAGGAGGGACTCCAGGCTGGCTCGGTGGATATGTGGATTGTAGTGTTGGTGGCGGTAGAAGCGGTTTGTAGTGTGTTGGTTTGGGTATCATGTTCTTCAACATCTGTGTCATTTTCCTCGTTGGTATCTTCGTTGTCAGCTTCTTTGGTATCTACATTCTCGTTGGCATCCTTATCCGTATCTTTACTTGAAGTTGAATCGATCAACTCTTTCTCGTTTGCATTTTCCGTCTCTCTCGTGGTAACCTTGGATGCGTTGTCCACTGTGCCAGTAAGATCATTCTTCTTGATCTTTCTTATTCTCTCTTTCGTGGCAGCAGCTGCATCCAACAGAGCCTTTTCGTTTACTCGGTCTTGCTGTGTGCTCATTATTGTGGTATCAGCTAGCTGTCCTTCTGATATCCTAGTTGACGGCTCCTCTTGATCTTCTTCGTGCTTCCTCTCTTCTGCAGTCTCCTCTGTTTCATGGAATGGCTGTCCTCTAATCTTCTTCTTCCCATGACTCTCTATTCTGCTGACATGTTGATTATTTCCCGCATTGGAAGCATTGACATGGTTCTCCTTTCCGCCAAAGTAGAGTGACTCGAGCTGGGCATCGGTCAATTTTGACAGTGCTGTTTCCACCACATGCTCCGGCAACGTCACGGCTGTGTTTTCATCCGTAAATAACAGGTCAAACACGGCTTTCGAAGTCAGACGACTACCATTCAAGTTGGCTAGGATGCAGACAAAGGCCATACAGATGAGACCGGCTCGAAGGGTAGTCCAGGACAAACACAACGCCATGCTTGGTCATGAAACAGATCTGATCTGTCTTCTGAAGTTTTTGGAGTATGCTACCTCCCTCCGAGCGGAACATTTAAAAAGCCGGCAGCGCTATTGAATGTTCACGCACCTGTGTGAATTGAACCCTGGCCCTACCGTATATTGTGCGGATCTTTTGGATCTTTTCCGCTTCGTCAACACAACAACTGCAGCAACAAGGCATCTACAATAGTTGAGCAATAGAAGAACGGGACAATAGTTGAGCTACTGATAGCTACTAGTAGCTAGTCCCTGCTGCTGCTGCTGCTGCTGCTGATGCTCATAGTTCTCAGTAACTTCTACTTGTGCGAGAAGCACCTAGCTAGCGAGTGCCAGGGATCACTTTGAGTAGTTGGACCTTGGACCTATAGTAGTGAGAAGACCACCACATAGTGCAAACCCCCTTATAGCTATAGCTAGCATATTGTTTGTCTAATACCCCACTAGCCATGTCTCTACTAGCTCCACACCTATCTCTGTTCGGAGGTTATGAAAAGAGTTTGTACAGATTACACCACCAATCTCCTAAAACCTGGTTTACAACACACCTTTCCACCGACCTCCAGGCCGTGGGATCCATTCCAGCTACAACTGAGGTGGACCCATGTCTGCTCATTTCAGACAAGGTTACCTGTCTGGTGCATGTGGATGACAAACTATTTTATGCTAGGAACCCACAAGACATCCAAGACGTTTTGGAAGAACTGAGCAAGAGAAATATAGTGTTAGAAGAAGAAGAAAGTGTGACAGGGTTCCTGGGAGTCGATATCTACAAAGAGACTCACCAAGGAGAGATCTGTTTGACTCAGAAAGGGCTCACTGACAGGATTATCAAGGCCCTACACTGTGATCACCTGCCTGCTGTGGAAACACCGGCTACTACAAAGTGCCTAGGCAAGGATGAAGATGGGGACCCAGCTTCCCACGACTTCAGCTATGCCAGTGTGATTGGAATGTTGCGGTACCTCTGCCTATGGGCATTCGAGGCCGGATCTTGGCTTTGCTGTAAGCCAATGTGCCCGATTTGCTTTCCAGCCCAAGAGGAGCCATGAACTGGCTCTCATCAGGATTGGTCAGTACCTCAAGAAGACGAGGACAGGGGACTTTGGTCGGATCACGGATCCCAAGTCCACCAAGACCTTCAAGATGGATGCCTCTGTGGATGGGGAAAGGGGTTGGGACTCCTACCTTTTGCATTCCGTAAGAAGTGCAATGGCAAAGCCGATGCCCGAATTGGCCAACGAGTCATTTCGGATATCGATTTGCAACACCAAGATTGGTTGGATGTGGTGCAAACAACACGAAATGACGTGTCAGAGCTGCCGAGGAACCCACCCTGTGGCGTTAAGCTTTTAAAAAAGAGTGTGTTAACCCCGGTCTTCAATGTATTGCGCTGGAGGTTCCCCTTCCAAGCAAATTCTAGGAGGATCCGCCAGCGAATAACGACCGCAGATTTGTGCTTGGCAATGGCTTGTATTTTCGTTTGATTAAACTATTTGTTGGTTCATATCCAAATACAGCTCGACGAGATGCAGCTCAAGGATGATCTACAGTCCCGACTTCTTCGGCCTGCCTCTGGAGTGCATCTCTCACCATTTCCTATTTTGCATTTGTGGCCTCGCCACATAAGTGCATGCATCAGGATTCCTGGACTCAGCTTCTTGTTCGTCTCTGGACAATGGCTGAGCCCTTGGGTAAAGGCCCAGAGGAGTTTCAGCAAGGTTTGTGGCCAGGACACGGTTTTGATGATTCTACTAAGCACTGGGCTGAGATGGCATGTGCTGGCAATTGGAATGTAGTTGTTGCATCTTGCACTTCGGTGGGGACATCCGGTGTTGAGATGCCCGGGTCACTCACAGCAATGCGCTAGTGCTGTTTGCCAGGTTAAACGACGGAGCCCGCACGTTGAATAGCTGGATAGTACCTCTCTCATCACATCGCACCAACACATGGAATCCAGCTCAATATCTTGTGCTCTCAGGCTGCCTTCCTCCGGAACTTCCCTCACCATACGACGAGTGGCCTACACATCACGGCAAAATTGTTCTAATCAATAAAACCCCATTTGAAACAGTTTGACTTTTATGCTACCAGGAAGACTTCAACAACGCAACCGTTCAAAGTCAATCATCATGCAGAAGTCGTTGTACTAATTGTAGCTATGGAATCAACGAAATTGGTGGATGAAACGTCCTTCGAAATGAGCTACCCCAAGGAGAGCTTTCACGAGTACTCCAGGAGCTCTCAAGATATCCTTGCAGTTGTTAGATGAGTGGCCTACAACGAGTGGCATACCGGTACAACAAAATCACGTCAACATTGTTCTACATGTAATTAAAAAAATCCCATTTTCTTCGCCCCGTGCCCTACTCGCTGCTCCAACCATATCCACTTCATGAAGTATACTAGCCAGTAGTGGTCAGGGGCTCGACATCCGGTCTTTCGGTCTCCGCTAGTGGTTGAGTCGTTGAAGAAGCTGAGGAGGGGCTGTCATCGATCCCCACGGCGACTACGGGAGGCTGTTCGTTTTCACCATTGCTTTGGTCGTCATCCATGACATCCTCCTCGTGCTGGGAAGTTGGAAGTGTTGCATCGTCGAAGCTACATTCAGTAGAGTTCGCTGAAAGCCTGGTAGGACGTTTCCCGATTGTCAAGGCCTCTAGGTAGTCCAAATCTTCATGCATGCTAGGAGTAGAATCATCCGAATTCACAGACTCTTTCTCCTCGTTCTCGCTGTCATTTTCAGTCACTCGTTGCAGTGGCATTTGTCTGCCGGCGGAAATAGAATGTCTCAGTGAAGGGTTGCTGTCTGACAACTTTGACGAATAGCTGCTATCTTGTTCCATAGAAAATATCCAATTGCCGTTCGTTGAAGAAAGGCTCCCATCCATAGAAGAAATGTTGGCCGTGTATGACGTATCCAAGACGGCATCGTTTTTCCGTTGGTTCACCTTTTTAGCGTAGCTTCGAATGTCGGCATGAAGGGAAGTATTGCTGCTCATACGGTGAAGATCCGAGCGACTCCTCTGGCTGTCAAACTGATAGACTTGCATTATAGTGTTGCCAAAGATCAGTACTGCACCAAGAGATAGAACAGCATGTGAGCGAAACCATCATCAACCAAACACTTCATGAGTTCCCCCGAAAGAGAAAACTTACCGACCACCACGAAATCGTTCATGAATATAGCAACCTTCATCCAGAAAGAAGCACGTGCATGTTAGAGGAGTGACTCGGCCAACGTAAACGACAAGTGCCAGGTCCTTCATTCAGTTTCTTACCGATCTGACAAAGAACGACGTCTGAGGCTCCGAACCAAGAATGATCAGGACCGGAATGGCCACCAAGGCAATCTGCATGTTGGACAAGAGAGCCATGGATACGTATTTGGCATTGGCGAGGCTCTCTGGCAAGTCCCGAGCCAAGTAGCAAACGTAGCATGCAATGCAAATGAGGACAAAATGGTAGGCTCCAATGATGGATGTGAAGATCATCCAATGATCTGAAGTGCAGTGTCCCTCCGATTCCAGATCATATCCGTATTTGTCTTCGCTCAAGACGTTCCTTTCCCAACGCAACGGGTCGACAATGGTCCATACAGTCAATATGCAAATGTCAATGAGCAGTATGACCGTGACGGTCATGGCCGTTTCTTGGACCGATACCGAGACGCGACGCATTTCCGCGGCGGACTGTAGAATGACGTAAATACGCCTGATCTTGGCAAAGAGTGTACCAAAGGTGATGCAGAATCCGACGCTGCAGGGAAATGAAACATGAACTGTGAGCAGGATCATTTTGGGGCTCTTGTCACCTGCACTTTCCTTTCCACCACTCACCTGTACAACCACGGGATTGCCATGCAACCCTGAACGGGTCCATCCCCGGGATGTTCTTCCGCAAGCGCCAGAATGGTTGAAGTGCTAAAAATACAGCCAACCAGGATAAGGAGGAGGAAGTAGGGCTGCGACATTCTGACTTGCGCTCGATTCCGGTGAATGAACAACCAGACGGCACAGAAGAAACACAGGGAAAAGTTGATGCCCACCATGGCATACGAGACAGATACCAGACTACTCGGCAAGAGGTTGAGATCTTCAGTCAGTTCCACGGAGCAATCATCTCCTGCCCATCGCGTGGAATCGCAGACACAATGTCCAAATCGATTGCTGATTCCATGCGACGGATTGCAGGGGTCCTCACAGTTGGGCCCCGCCTTGCCCAAGGGACAAAAGTGGACGCTAAAGTATTGCTGGTAAAGATCGTCCAAGATTCCCGTCGCCTTGGCTTGGTACATCCATTGAAAGAACAGATCCCGATGCAACTCGGGCACGACGCGCTTGTTAAAGGGCCAGAGCACAAACTGTTCTCCAAACTTTTCTCGTGTCACTTCGATTTCCGGATCTCGTACGGTGAGGTGTTTCAACTGCAACTCGTCTTCCACAAAGAGGACACAGAGTTCGTCCTTGAGCCACTTGATGCACTCTTGGTGGGTATTGCATTTGATGGAGAGCATTCCAGGATACTGCTCTAGAGCCTGTTCGTCATAAAAGGATTCTCGCAAGACGCAGACTGGTTCTTGCAATGCCTGTGCTTCGGCAAAGGAGGAGATGTCCCGCTCTTTTCGATGCACGTACTTGATGGCCACTCCCGAGGTGGTCAGAAAGTTGGGTGTGAACTGGACCTTCATGGGTCGGGGTGCAAAGGAGTAAAAGTCGCCGACGACAAAGTCGTACTTTTCACAGTCTTCCAGCGGAATGGGATTAAGCTGGCTGGTGTTGCAATCCGATGCCACCAAATCAAACTGATCCCCATAGGAAAAGGGAGGTGCTTCTTCCAACTCATAGCTGAGTGTAATGTTGTGCATGTCCTTGGCAATCGTGATCAGGACGCGGAGTAGATCCGGTTGAAAGCCCCGAAAGACGGAGAACGGTATCGAGTTATCATAGGCATCGTTGTCCACGTACGCCAAGGGGACTGTATTGGCGAGCAAGGAGGCTCTTAGATGAATAGATTCGGGGTAGCCGTCGGGTCTTCTGGCGGGTCGTTTGGTCATGGCTGTGGCACTGGGTATTATCACTGCCCAGCAAAGCAGCAGGAAGCAAGATAATAATACCCCTGGAAGAAGGAGGGTAGATGATTGCAACCGCATCATGATTGGGGAGATCTTGTGGTTGTGCGTGGGAAGAGGGACGCTCGATGTGGAGTGGAGGGAGGATGGGTAGCACAAACTGTGTTTTAATAGCTTTCACGAGGAATGTTATCGCCGAGGTGGACAAGCTGAGGATGGTCTGCTGCTGGCCTGATCAATGAAATCAACTGCGGCGATGTAGAGCTCTGCCCAAATCTTTGAAAAAACGAGAGGTTTCAGTGGCGGGGGATGAGAGGCCCCAGTTAGCTTCTATTGACAGTGCCAGCAATAAGAGAGCTGAATTACGAAGCCAGTCGATGAACTGCTGACGGTGCAATACTTGGAAACGATGCACTCTGCCAAGTGGTTGCCAGAGCATTCTGGAACACTTCCATTTTCAGATGCCAGTTAATACAGCTGTAAAGCGGCCTAAAACATAGCGTTAGAGCATACTTTTACCACAATGAATGAGCCACGAATCCATGAATGACATCAGTGGTCACACCCAGAAAACCAATAAATAATGACTTCATCGGTGCGGAATGCCAATTCTTGATCCATAAATGCAACCACCCTACCTTCCAGAAATGCCCCAGCCCAGGTGGTCCAACTGTCCTCTTACAAGTAGCAGCAGGTGTACCTAAGCTTTATTGTTACCTTGTGGTGTGGTAAACTGCCAAAGCAAGGGTACCCTTCCGCTTCCCCTTCCCCGACCCAACATGGCACTTTCCTCTGTTTCATTCAAAAGAAGCCTTGTGAATCCTATTCGATTGGATCATTGGAATATCGATCCCGCGTGTCGCGTGTCTGTTCAGAAAGGAACAGAGGCTCTTGAAGGCTTAGACAATTTCGACAATAAATCGTGGAAACTGTTTTCTATAATGCCCCTAAAATGACAATTGGACAACAAATCGTGCTTAAAAGTGTATTCTATAATGCCCCTATCTCGGCTGTAAATTGAGAAAATTAATATGGGTCCATTGATTGTATGTTTAGTATATTTGGCGAAACGCAAGGAACAATGTCGAACTCTTTGTCTTGGACAAATGTGGGTCTTCTAAATCCTACGGTACACTGACGGCGATGGTACGTACTCCGTACGGAACGAGTGGGCTTTCGGCTCCTCCCCTCCACCCTCCACAACCAGCAAGTAAGTCCGTACTAGTGCCTCACAGTGGGGTGCGGATAAATAGCAGATCCGCAGTCTTATCCGCGGATCGCGGATAATAGGCAGCACTCTGCGCACCAACCTCCGACCTTTAAAATGGAGCGACCATGGCCCTTTCAGACCACTCCACCGGCACGAAATGGCCACAACAGTGGCACTTGACAATGCCTTGATAAACGGTGTCGATTATAGTAGTTGATTGTTAGGATTTTCGTGCATACTTTCCTGTTGTTGTTGGTTTTTTTTGAGTCGACGTTCAATTGGATAACGGCCGGCAATTCACTCCCACACCACAAGCTCACTAGCTAGAGCCCTTTGGCTACCAGCTCTCTATGGAGCTGGACGCATGACTTCTTGTTATTGACCAACCCCCGTCGCGGAATCATTGGTCTTACCTTGTTGCAGAGAGGCACACCATAATACATCTCTCCACCGTATGGTTTCTCCTTCTTCTTGCATCCATGATGGCTGCATTCATTGCGTGTGTCGCTTCCACAAATAACACACTTTCTCTTGGTTCCTTGTCCAGATGTGTCCTTGATACGATTAGGAACAGCGTCATGGTGTTGAATGTTGGCATCATTTGGTGCGAAAGCAAATACGCTGCTAGTTGACATTGGAGAGGGATCTTCGCTCCCACAGAGGTTGATCGTCATGTTTCGAAGGCCTCCGGTGACGTCTGCAACACCACCAAACATGACATTTGGAAAGCCGGAAATCCGAGATATGACTTCAGGATCATTGGAATGCAATCCATCGGCGACAATATCTTCACGGGCCGATGCAATGAGGCCGCTGTTGAACGTATTGTAATAACAATCATAGGCCAACCTGTCAGCAAACTCTTCAACTGATGAAGAAAGAGACAACAATGTAAGCTGACGAGGGAATGTATTGCCGTGGAAATATCGAGTGGAGACTCACCTGTCATCTTTCGGTACTCTGGAAGACGCCATCGCAGAGCCTTCTGCAATACACGGCTCTTAGCCTTATTCGCGACTCGATCCTAGATAGGGTTTGAGTTCGACTCATGACTGAGTCTCTATTTCGCGACTCGATCCTAATAGGTTTGAGTTCGACTCATACTGAGTCTCTCGTGAATAGTCATTGAGACAGGGTTCTCAATACCGCTCTAGTCATACTAGGTTGATGATGAAACATCCTTAGATATTTAGCAGCGTGGAGCCTTCCACGCTACTAGATAAATGCTAGACGAATCTTCCACGTTCCGTTTTTGGATCGTGGGAAGTAGGATTGCTACCGCAACCTACTCTATCACACTCTACAGTCTCCGCGGGAGTTCAGATCTACGATTCTTTGATGTGGATCTCTCTCGTTGATAGTTTTCATAGCTTTCTAATCCTCTCATAACTTTCATTCTCTCAAACTCAAAACACTCGAAAGATCTTTCACTAGCTTTTAGCGTAGTGCATTTTGTTAACAAACACAATAGCTTTCAGTACCTTCAACCTATTCCTCACCATGAAGATTGCCAAAGACGCATACACCAGCTTCGAGTTAAGCTGCGTGACAAACCCATCCTTCCTCTCATCGACCTCGATGATGATGCGAAATCGACGATTTCGCTCTACCACCTACAAACTTCGCACATTCCAGCAGATGCTAACACGCCAAGTCAACCTTCAAGGTCCAAATCATCAATGGATCTGAGACTCCACGTCAACCATCAAGTGGGCTGGACGTATGGAGAAGTCTTCGTCGGCTCGCATTGCTACGCCTGGCGACAAAAACAACCTCCTCAAGGAGATGACTTCTACTGCCAAGAGCAGTTACGAATCTAGCTGTGCAGGCCATCGTGAATACGTTGGAATGCTTTGCGGCCAGATTGCAGTCAAACGGATTGCCTCCACGCGATACGTGGCGGCGAAGACGAGCCGCTTTCCAAGTACGTTTCCAGGCTGCCTGGAACGGAGCAGCTCAGCCCCTTTGGACGATCTGACATTACGTTTGGAATAATGCCTGTATCGAAGCGGTCTGTCCCTACAAGGCTCTTGAAAGCAGAAACGCTTCATGCGCGCAAGATGCGTAAGCCTGCTGATATGTCTACTCGGGCTTATGTCAACAACCTCAGTCGGTGAACACGATGAACTTCTCGTCTACCACCTTTTGGACCCAACCAAACGTTGAACCATGACGAAGTCATGACATTGTTTGTCATGGATTCCACGCTCGTGATGAAGAAGATGACGAACACGACTCGATCCTTTCTCAGCTCTATCGGAGAAACCATTGATTCTGCGAACGCATGGAATCTCCGAAGACTTTGACAAGGGCGGTGATGCCAAGCAAGTCCTTCGAAGAAAAACAAACGCAAGAAGTACAAGTCTACTCGCAACAACGACACTCTTCCAAGAACGAAGAAAAATGGTGCGACTACCACGAGTCCAGCACTCACAACACTGCTGACTGCATTACTTGAAGAAGCTCAAGGCCAAGTCTCAGTCCTCGTCTGACAACGATAACAAGCCAGCGTACAACAGAACAAGACATGGAAACGCAAGTCCGACGACGCCAAGACCTACACCAAGAAGAACTCTCTGTCCTCATGAAGAAAGTTTCCAACGCTGCGGTCAAGGCTGATCGCCAAGAAGAAAAGCGAATGAACCATGTTGCCAAGCGCAAGCAACACTCCGACAACGAGACGACTCCTCTTTTGGATCATCAACATGATGGACAAAAAATGGCTGCCGTCGACAGGCGCTTGCCGAATTCGACTTCATTCATTCGGATGGAGAGATCTCCTCTGAGGATTAGGCCAGGATGATGATTCAAGAACCATGTTCCGATTTCCATACCAAGTGATGAAGATATCTCACTAATAGTAAACAAGATTTGTTTGCAACTAATGAATCTACGGCAAATTAGATAATTGCCTGGCAACTACTCAACTAGACTCTGACGATCTGTTCAGCATCGTTAACTTCGTCCATGGCCAATCAACTCATCAACGTCGCAGACAAGAACCTCGAAACTATCGTTATGTTAATTTAACAGACGAGAGAAGGGAAACAAAAACCCGTTACACTCTGTTGCTTACTGGTACAGGAGCATCCGGAACTTTAATTACTCAAACTCATGCAAGAGTTTACTCATGAAGATCATGGGGGCGTCCAAACATTACGGACTTCTTCTATGAAGGAATCGAAACCCCGCACAAAGTGAAGGGCACACTCGTGATTCCTGAGTTCCACGATAATAGAATTATCGAATGGAATTTGCACGTCACCAAGAACTTGGGGGCGCAAGACATGATCATAGGTCAGACACTCTCCGACCTAAGAATCAAGTTTGATTTCACTACCATGTCATTGGAGTGGAACAGCGTATTTTCCCTGCGAAAGATGGCGATACTGATAGAAAGGAGAACTTCTCCAATCCCGATCCTGCAGCCGTCAGCGCAATGCAGATAGTCTCAAGAAGTTCTTGATACGACATACGAAAAAAGACTAAGGCAGATGGCCAGAGTCGAAACCAGTTAAATAAGGAAAGCAAGAACTGCCTCATGCCTTTTCAACCAAGTGCTTCGGCCAGTCGAGGATACTTTGGGGAGTTGCGAATGGACGACTACGAGTAGAACTCGTCCCGACGCTAAATCCTTTATACTAGGGCTCACCCTACTCCACGGGTCCATACAACACTCTTAAAAAGGAGGTTGAACGTCTCTGCGAAGCAGGAGCTCAAGAAGGTGAATCGTTCCGAGTGGCGGCACCAACTTTTATCATTCCCAAGAAAGAAGATCTTACGATTCTCTCTGATTCCGGGAACCGAACAAAAGGATCAGCGGAAGCCTTATCCTATCCCAAAAATACAGACATGCTCTTGAACCTAGATGGATTCAAGTCGCTACTAGTCTAGACCTGAACAGGGACACTACCACATCGAGCTGTCACCTCACTCGAACAACACTGTACCATTGCACTCCCGAGGGGAAAGCACGAGTACCAGAGGTTGCCAATGGGCCTATGTAATAGTCCCGAAATCTTCCAAAGGAAGATGAAAACACGCATGCATGACTAGAAAATGTCCGTGCATACGTTGATGATCAACTACTCCTAACTGACGTCGATCTGGGATCGCGTTGAATAGTTAGATGACCTTTCCAAGACTTCAAGAAGTCGGGGTTAAAATCAACACTACAAGGCTTCCTCGAAAGGAAGAACTTGAGTATCTAGACAATTGGACTACTCGAGAAGGAATCCACCCTTAACTAAAAGATAATAGATGCGATCAACTATCGCTCTTCCTACCAACAGAAGGAACTTCGTGATTCATTGGACCAATGAACTACCAAGGCTGCTCCAAGACAGCAGACGGGTAACCATCGTTCTGAAACAGACGGGTTACCCAGTACCATGACCGGTTGTCATGGACAGAAACGTGAGTCCCGCGCAGAGGTCGAGAAGACTCTCCGGGATGAACGTGGACTTCGTCGCAAGTTCACGCGCGTCAATCGTGACAAGATTCACCACACCGTTCAAAGCAAACCGGAAATACATTAAGGACGCGCCAACGACTTATCCAGAAAAACACCGATAAGGAGAAACGGCACATGCCCTATCAACACCATGTCAACGATACTATGATGATTCATCAGTATCAAAACCGTTTGTACGGTCAGCCAAGCCAAGTCCTTACCACACAGACGAGTCAATAACAATGGCACTGTACGGCTCCGACATACTACCGCAGTAGCGGCACAGTCTACCAGACTTGAACATAAGGTATTTACACCCATACAAGGCCTGATCCCCTTGTAGGATTGCCATCGTGCGACGCACATGTCTACATCCAATCTCCGGAGAGTGCCCGCACTTTTATTCATATGTTCTCCTTGCCGACTGATGTCGTGCCTTCCGTTACCCTTGTCAGGGGCGAATGCAATACACGGCTCTTAGCCTTATTCGCGACATCCTAGATAGGGTTTGAGTTCGACTCATGACTGAGTCTCTCGTGAATAGTCATTGAGACAGGGTTCTCAATGACCGCTCTAGTCATACTAGGTTGATGATGAAACATCACTCTAGATATTTAGCCAGCGTGGAGCACTTCCACGCTACTAGATAAATGCTAGACGAATCTTCCACGCGTTCCGTTTTTGGATCGTGGAATGAGTAGGATTGCTACCGCAACCTACTCTATCACACTCTACAGTCTCCCGCGGAGTTCAGATCTACGATCCTTTGATTGTGGATCTCTCTCGTTGATTAGTTTTCATAGCTTTCTAATCCTCTCATAACTTTCATTCTCTCAAACTCAAAACACTCGAAAGATCTTTACACTAGCTTTTAGCGTAGTGCACTTCCAACAATCAATAATGGTGATGCCAACAATCGTTTGCACATTTCGGATCCATGGATTGGGTGTGCGCCAGTGCTTTTCCAGCCCAAGAAGGTCCTGTCTGGCTTGGTTGTGGACGTCAATGATGTTGCTGACTCTGAAGTAATCAGAAATAGCTTGCGGACGCGACACCAATCTCTCTTTGGTGTTGCCGAAAGGGTCTGGAAATCTTGCTCTGTAAGCCTTTCCTTCGATAGTTGATCTGGCATCTTTGGTCATGATGAAGCAGAGTGTCTTCTTTGCATTGTACCTGTGTCCGACTGCAACGAGTTTAACTTTGGTGTTTGGTGTGGTACACTCGAGAACAATGTGAGATCCACTCGGCCAAGTCGCCATCTTCTCTTCGATTTGTTTCTTTGGAAACCAAGAGTGTGCTGTTTTGACTGCGGCAATGAGCTCATGGCCTCCAGCGTTACCAGTTGCAGATCGGTCAATTCGATATCCATCCAAGAAGAAATGCGTGTAATAAGGAGACTCTTCTGGTGGACCGTCAGTTTTTCGGAGCAGCTTGATGGCTTCCGCAGTTCTTGCGCTACCAAACCATGAGTCAGCGTAGATGACATGGCGAGTTTCATTATCCTTGGCTCTCTGCCTCTCCTTGTTTGACAAGCCAGTATGTGTACCTTGAACAACAAGCCGAAGAGTACATGCTCCTTGCCCTCCAATCTCAGGCTGGAATGGCAATTGTCTCATTGGTTTGGCTCCTTTCTGTATCTCAAGGAAGGTAATGATGCCAGTCGAAGGATCAGCAATGCACTTGTATTCAGTTCCAAGCGGCTTGGGCTTTCGAAAAATGAAAGATAAGAATGGGAGAAGCGACGTCTTGGTTGATCTTGGCCGAAATGGGCTCATTAGCTCATCCAGAACACGCCTGAAATCGCCACAAATCCACTCCTTTCGGTTAGAATTGAAGTCAGCAACAAGCTGAGAGATTGGATGCCAAGGATCATCATTGTTATTACCATCATCAAAGGCTCGGTGCAGCCTTTCCTTGATGAACTTGAATCGGTTCCAAGACATCATTTTCTTTCCAGCCGCTTTGGTTGCCTCATTGTACTGTCGCCGATCTGTGCTTATGTCAACTCCAGGTGAGAGCCGACCGGGACCTGTTATTTCCGTGAAGAGCTTGATGCCACCTTTCTTGCAAGGACATGCAACAATGATGATACCCCACATTATCCACCATTCTTGTTCCGTGATAAGGCTTGCTTTGTGCTTGGCGTTGGCCATCGAATTGTGTTCCTCAATGGCTCGGTTCAAGTTTCGATGATGCTTCCTCCAATCACCTGGCCACAAGTGAATCAGAAGAGACAAAAATGGATATTGGTACGTTGCCTTGGTTGATTCTTCCTCAGCGTCTTGAAACGCCGTCGAGAACTTGAATCCTGACACACCAATGCTCGAGTGTCGCGCATGTTGGATAGGATTATCAGGTGAGGATGCTTCAACGATCTTCCATTCAAAGATCCGCTTGTCTTTGATGAGCTTGAGTGAGGTAGATGCAACACGGTGCTCTGGAACATCCTCGCCTTCAAAAATGATGGACCAATATGGCTTTCCATCGGTGGGTTCTCTGTCATCACCAACAACAATGCCATTTCACTTTCGTCCTCTCTTCTCAACCACACACTCTCCTATTTCTATCTTCTGCTTTCGTGGAGGTTTACAGAGGACAGTCCACTCTTGATCAAGCAGCTGTTGCTTTTCCCGTTGGTATTTGTCCCACTTTTCTTTGTGCTTCGAATCATCCGTTTCAATTCCACGGGCCGCAACAAAGTCGGTTGCATTGAAAAGGTGTTGTTCTTCTGTGAATTCAGCGTCTTGGAGCCAACCAGGAACGTCCTCCTCGATGGCATTGTCGGCATCCTCAGTCGCCACGGTTTGTTCTTCTGTCTCATTCTCCTCAACAACCTCACGTTGTTCGTTTTCTTCCTTTGCTTCCTCCTCCTTTGCTTCCTCCTCCTTTGCTTCGTCGGTGGTGCCAGTAGATTCATGTTGAGACTCTGCGTCGGAGGCAGATGGTACCTCCATGATTGCGGCCAATCCAGCATCGTTGGTTTCATCGAGCACAACTTCGATTTCCCCACCTGGCTCACTGTTTGTTGTTGCCGCTGCCTCTGCTGGTGTGGGTTCATCATCATCATCACTGTCCTCTTGTCTGTTTGGAGTGGGGAATTCTTTGTCATCTTTTGGGTGACGCAGTGCTTGAGAGCTCAAATTTTCTACAAAATTGCCGGTTGGGGTTCCATTGTCTTCGTCGACAAGCTCGACCTTCCACTTTCTACTGCCCATTGCCTCCGTAATGATGGCAGGCACATTACCCTTGCGCAAGAAAACACGGGTGGTCCGTTCAAAGCGCTTTTTCGCCATCTTGCAGTTCCTGATGGTGAAGAAACGATTGTATTGTATCGATTGGCTCAGCCTCCGAGTTCGCACCACAAGCAAGGAAATAGCCGTTCAGCTGGACGTCAGCCAAAACAAAGCAGTATACAAAATAGAAGCTAACATTAGCATACCCGTTGTCTACAGATGTGATGTTTCGTAAAAGCTTGAGTATGGTCGAAATTTGTGCTTGTTTACCATTCCATTGTCAATGATGTGGGAGTGCACGATCTGCCGTCTCGTTTCGATGCTTTTTGATCGATTTTCAACCGTGTTAGAATGTCGTATGCGACCTAAAGACTATGAACAAACTTCATTTGGAATAGATTTGAGAAATTATAATTATGCTACCTTATTGAAAGAAATAAAGGCATGAAACTGGGATTGAAGAAGGATCGCGGGTAGGTGCACGCGACAGCAAACGACCGGACGCATCAATAAAGCGCCTTCGATAAAGCACCTTCGTTGCCACCACCACAACAAACAGATCGATCCTATCTCCACTCTCTGATAACACAATGGAGAAATCAACGACGGCGAGAAGCAACACGACGACTGCGACGGCTGGGAGCAGTGGGGGTAGGGGCCAAGAGAGCTTCCTGAGAGAAACCGTGAGCAACTGAGTAGTCCGAGCTGGTGTCAGAGTCATCTTCACGCTGCGATCGAGTCGCGTCCCAATGAATTCAACCTTTTTCTCAATTACTTCTTCTTCTACTTGCTCTTCCTCAGGTGTCACGATGGCAGAAAGATCGTCGATGTTGGTGCTTGTTCCGCTGCTTGATGCACTGCTGTTGAGAAGCTCCACCACATCACTCTTGCAGTTGTTGTTGTTGGTCTTGGTCTTGGTCTGGGTCTTGACACGTGGGGTTTCGGCTGCGGCTGCGGCTGGTGGGGCGACTTCTTCCACCGAGCTGTCATCGTCTGAGCTGGGCAGAATCTCAGCTCCAAAGCGGTCAAGATCTTGGAAGTCCAAGAACAGATTGCCTGGGTTGCCATGGCCCAAGACACGTCGGGAACGGCCAGACGGATCAACAAACCTGATGTTGAAGGCGAAGTTGGTCATTGAGTAGCGAGGCATGATTGGTGTTGCTTGATGTCGAGTTGTCAAGTTGTGAGGGATCGAAGGGATGGATCTCTATTCAATTCCTCTGCTGGAGTTGGCGTGGCGCCACTCCAACCTTTCCCTCGGTTTTCGAGTGAAGGAATCTAATTTCGAAGCCAATGATCGGCCGCATGCACTTCTGCTTGTTCAAACCGAAAGCTATTGGTCCTGTTCAAATCAAATAAGACGCGGGCTTGCGAGGAGGCCCTCAGGGTGAGTGATATCCTTGGCTTGATCCCCATTTCTGTCCATCGAAGTGTCCCACTTTCGACAGCTTTCTCCGACCCTCTTTCCTGTTATCTCTCACCATGATGTACAACGGTCTTGATTCCTTTTTCATTAACTTCCAAGCTTGGATGTCTTGGATCTGCCTTCGATTTTCCAGTTTGTCTGAACGCAGTTACTCGTTTGTTCTCTTTATTGCTGGTCGCATGCTTTCAGTTTGTATTATTATTCTTGGTCCCAATCATTCTCACTGGCACGACGTCTTTGTCTTCGACGACGAAGAAGCTCAAGGACGCAGCATGGTTTGTCGCATCGTGGCTGGATTCGGCATCAGTCAGCGGATTCAAGGAGCATTCATTCTACAGCAATATGGAGACACAACACTCTACCGTCTCCTTTTTGAAGGGGATGAAGTGATTGACGCCGAAGGACCTAACACCAAAGGAAATCCAGCCCAAGGATGTATTCTTCTCCCAGATGGAATCAAATGGAACAAGTCTGTTAAGAAGGCCAAGAGCAACAACACTGCCAGTGTTCGTGGTCGATGTATTTTCCTCTCATTCGAGGCCAATCTTACCGGTTTGACTGCACTCCAGGTAACTCTTATCCATGATCGCAATGACCACATCGCGAAGCAGACTGCTGTGGAGCTTCTGGACGTGTTTGAAAGAGCCGTCGTCCATGTCAACAAGCATCCGCATCCATTCAACAGCTACTAGATGGCTACCTTCATTGGTTGTCGCACTTTGAGCCTTGTCCGCGGATGTTGTACTGTTTTACTATACAAATCGCCAATCCGCGGATGTCGGAGGGAGTAAAATGTGAGCGCTCATCCGCACTATGTGAGCTACTATTACACAACAACAATGGACAGATACCCAAGAAGGGATTGTTTTTTCTTACTCTCCTAACTATAAAGATCAATAGCTCCTATGGTGTTATCCTCAATATTAGCTATGGTCGCAATGCTAGACAGCCTCAAAGTAGCCCGGATAGCATCCGCGGTCCACGGATCCCTGTACTCCCCCCACTGCGAGGCACTAGTATCGTACCGGTTCCGTACCGGTCGGTACCAGCTCCACCTTCAGCCTCACCTGCGTTCTCAGCTCGTACAGTGGATCTGCGCTTCGGACTGAACTCAACCAGCTCTTTGCGCCTTCAAAAAGAAGCATGATCCAGTGTCAACGGGCAGGTTGCTTGGGCAGAATAGTATGTGTGCAGCAAAGCTGCTGGCTCACAGAGGGTATCCGCTTATCCATCCTCAGCCCAACCCCCATGACCAGCCTAGCTTCTAGGATGATAGAGAGCTCGAGAAAAGATAAATGAGCGTTCAAAGCGATGACATCTTCAGTTTGACTGGTCACTGGACTCGGCAACTCGCTCCAGACTCCAGACAAATATTAGTTCCCAGCAGTGGCTGCAGTGGCTGGAAATTGGAACCAGGATGAATGGTGTTTGTCCCGGAGCATTAGATCTACTAGTGTCGCTCATGAACACTGAACATGTACATGTACACATACATGTACTACTTGAGTGGGAGTATGTATGTATCCGTGCGTATTCCGGTCACGTCCAGCGTCCAGCGAGGTTATGAAAACCAACTTGTCAATGAAATCATCCAGAGCAGACTGGATTTAAAGTCAGGCATATCTTTGTGGTTTGTGTCTCCTCCACCTTCAAAAATTTAATGTTCTCAGTTCTCATGCAAGCAAACGAACCAGTCAGCTTTGTTGAAAGCAGTTTCAAAGTTTCACCTTTCATTAACACTCACTGTCTGTCTGCAACACCGTCAACCCAGCCACGAAACCGCTAGCTAGCTAGGAGTTTGTTGCCTCGAATCGACAGTGCAGTTTATCCATTCGTCTATGCTTGATTCGATTTTCGATTTCATTCATCATTATTCATTAAATTCCGTCAGTCAGCCATGGAGGGCAATGGCAAAGTAGCACTACAAACCAAAGAAGAACTTGAAGACAGCAGAAAGCAGAAGACAGAGGACACCTAGTAGGTGGGAAAACTTCAAGGAGCCAGCCAGGATGCTCTTGCGGCGTCTGTGTGCTTCCTAAACGCCAGGCTCCATGCATGTGTGCATGGTGGCTTCAAGCTCCAAGCTCCAAGCCTATTGAAACAAGATGATGAGGCCATTCCATTTTGGATCTTTGGATCTTTGGATCTTTGGATCATCAAATTAGTTTTTGGATAGTCTACTGGAACACCCACGATAAAAGACTTAAATGACTGGTCAAGCCTTCTAAGTCATATGGCCTAACTCTAGTCGTGATTGTCGGAATTCTGAAACCACGATGTCGGAAAATGTCGGCGTTTGTACGAGAATGTCGGCGTTTGTATGAGAATGTCTGCATTTGTCGGAAAATGTCTGCAAAATGTCGGAAGGTTTCCAGACATTTCAGCGAGATTTTTCCGACATTTAAAACGGATGACTTTCGCTGGTTAAGTCGTGTTCTTCACTGGTTGGTACTTTCTCTTTGATAGAACCCTACAATTCGGAACCCTGTAAACTCATTCAACGGTCCTCTAATCGTAAATGTCGGATTTAACTCGCCAAAATGTCGGCAAAATGTCGGCAGAATGTCGGCAATGTCTGAGAATGTCGGCGTTTGTACGAGAATGTTGGAGTTTGTACGAGAATGTCTGCATTTGTCGGAAAATGTCGGGACATTGTCGGGAAACTTTCTTCTGTCATTTAGGCCATATGATTTAAAAGCAGTGCCGGTCATATATCTTTAAAAGACTTTATCGAGAGTGTTCCTGGTACTGGTACTACGAGGTACTAGTACTCACAGTCTCAGAGTAGTACTCGTACCGGTACCAGTAGTACATAGAGTGCTGTACGCGACTTGCTTGGCATGCTAGCTAGCTAGATAGCCCATAAACTTGACTTTTAAAAAGAAATTGTTCGGCGGTTCTCGCCCAAACACCTTCTTCTGCGCGGAGCAGGGCGCGTTTGGCAGGTATTAGTACATGTCCGTGTAGCTGCGAAAACGGGGGTGTAGAGTAGGGAAATATTAGCTGTGGTTGTTAGCCATTACAGCTCAGAAGCAATATGTTTAGGTTACTAGCTAGTACGATCCTCGAGTCCTAACAACCGGCCGGCGGTGTGGCTGGCTTCAGTCCAAGCAATGCCGTAGATAGCCACCCCAGCCTCGTCTCTGGACCTGCCTCTTGAGCTCTTGAATGAGCAATCTCTATGCGTGCGCAAGGCAGGAGAATTTGATGGACTAGAACGGGGGGAACGAGCTGAGATTGCTGCAACCTTTGAGGCTCGGTCAGGTAGTTGATCTCTTGCACGTCTCAACTATCCTCAGTATCAAGCTAAGGAAGACCTAGGGTAGTATTCATATTGAAGTTGTTTGATATATCACCGTTGATCTAGTAGTAAGTTTACATACATTCTTCTATGATTGCATTCATTTATTTGAGGGTGCGAGAGGCACGACGCCGGGTGGAGGGATCCGCCAATAGCACTTGCCGTTTTGCCAGTTACCCCCAATGATCTTGCATGCGTGCCTGCCTGCCATCCAATAGTCAACACAAGCCAAGTTCTGGTGATGAAGCAACTTGAAAGAAAGAAAGAAAGAAAGAAAGACTGCCTTGCTGAAATGTCCCTACAGCTCAATGGTCAGACTGGGCGTCCTCAACATGGCTGGGCGGGGGTTTCATCTGCTGCAATTGAATTGAATTGAATCAATCAACCAAACTAGGACGTCCTCGGCAGGGTGGAGACTCTCTTTGCGTTCTCGTGTTGGGGCAGATTATTAAGCTCAGCAACGCTGCACTGATGAAAGGCGACCTTCTAAAGGACGACGGTCTGCTTCTTTCAAGATAGCTGGAACCTTTGAGGCACGGTGGGTTGATCTCTTGCGCGTCTGCACGATCCTCAGTGTTAAGCTAAGGAAGACCTAGGGTAGTATTCACATCGAAGTCGTTTGACATATCACCGTGGATCTAATAGTTTACAAAATTCTAATTCTTTTGAGGGTTCGATTGAGTGCAGATGCGGCTTGGCAGTGAATATCCCTACAGTTCAATGGTCAAACTGGGGCGGGATCGACATGGCAGGGAGGGGATGGCATCTTCTGCAACAATGGAATCGACCAAACTAGGACGTGATCGGCTGGGTGGCGATGGAGGACTGTCTCTCTTCTTGTTGTGGTTGGACCGGGTAAGCTCACTCCGAACACTGCACTGACGAATGGCGGCCTTGGGACGACGGTCTGCTTCTTTCAATTCCTTGGTAGTTTTGCGTCGTAGAGGAATTGACGGTTGGTTATCACTGATCTGACGGACCATGGTGGTTGGTGGTGGTGGTGTCATCATGAACTCTTCAGTGAACTCCTCATCAGAGTCGTAGCAAAACGAATCGTCGGGGTTAAACTCGGGCATGGTGACACTGCTGGAGCAAAAGGGACGTTGTGCTCGGGTATCGCAGTTGATCATTTGACCGACAAAGTCCTGAATCATCTTCTTGGCACCATTTTGGCGTTTTTTGGCAGCGGCACGGTTGCGTCGGGTGGGACCAACTGCGGCGACATCAGCCAAGCGCAAGGACTGCTGCCTCCCAGCAGAGAGCTTGGTGATGGTACCCATCCTTCTGAAGGAGGGTAGCTTGTTCATGAGGAGAAAGTCTTCGTTGGTTCGGGCAGTCATCATGCTTGAGTTGTTAGTTAGGATTGTGTTTGTGTGTTTGTGTGTGGGTTGATTTTGTGTTGACAGTTGGAAAGACTGAAATTGTGAGCGAACCTTGTGAGCTCTAGTTCTGTATTGCCGCAACCTTTTGGGCATAATTTATCAACCGTCATCTACCACAACCAGGGAGCCATCACAATGTGTCGAGCAGTACTACAAGGTCTGTAAATAAGACAGGTAAAGGAGTTGTTTATAAGTCGAGGTTGGCAATGCGAACCATCTCAATTTCTGGGGCCCAAATAGTTATGAAGGACCATATAGAAAAGGCGATGCAAGCCTTCGCCGAGCTAAACACGGATGGATGACAATGGATGTACACCGATCCTATGCCCTAGATTTCTACTTAGCCATGCGAAGGAGACTGTTGGCTTAAATCCCCTGACTCTATGCAATATTTTGAGATTTCTCCAGACCGAAGAGGAGAAAGATACTCGTTGATCATTTAGAAGACACGCAACATAAGGCATTGGAGTCATAGTACTCCTTTTGCACATATAAGCTCAACTCATAACAAAGTTCTTTGCATACAGCAGGGCTTTGATTTAAAAAATCCATGGAAGCGACTGAAAGCATAGCTCAGCGTCCTGGTTTCTGTCAATAGAAGCAGGGGCTTTCTAAGGCGACTATGTATGCAGTATGCCCCTTTGATGTACCGGTCCAAACGAAAAGATGGCATTAAATCGTACTTTTCCAATCTTTCTGAATACCAGTTACATTATTTAAGGAGTTGTACAGTACCAGACAATTGCCACCTAGTGGTACGGCTGCAATCTAGTACCATACATGTACCGCTACATGTCAAGTGGATAGGATTTCTAGCTAGATTTCTGTCAACTCTTGTTCTTCGAAGCACGTTCAAGCTCGCTGGGGTATGGGGCAACTATGATTCTAAAGCACACAACACGTCACTGCCACACTCAAGACAATGGCAGTTACGTTACCTGAAGTTACGTTACGTGCAGTTACGTTTTATTATGGAGATTGGCGTACTTAAAATGTCCGTGCAATTACCTGCAGTTACGGTCTAGTACGCTGAGTTACGGGTAACTACGCTAAAATACGCATCTCAAGAAACGCTCTAAATCCATAAGTTGCCCCAGACCCCTGGGAACAATTTCCAATACATGTACAGTACCGCCATGGAGGCATGGAGGCTACCGTAGCTAGTAGAGTGCATGGGTAGCCAGACTAAACAAGAAGCATAGTCTAGAGCAAAACCTTTCGATTTGGCTCTACAGTACATGTAGTAAGCTCTTCTAAAGGTTGCGATGGTGCTGATGATAGCTGTACCACCCAGCCACCCAGATACCGGTGGTAGGTCATTCTCACCTCGAGAGTCGAGAACGAATTCTCAGGTTCCTTGCTTTTCTTTCGTGCAATTTTAAAAAGTGCACCTTTCTGATGCCGTCTGCGTTGTTGTTTGACAATTAGTTGACAAAGAGTTGAAATGTGCAGTGTACTGTACCCATCTACATCAATACCAGTATCATGCTCCCAAGTCCCAAGACGCGCCTGAGCTGTTGTAAAAGACTCGCTCAGTTCCGAGAAATGGAGTCCGGAACAGAGAGTTCTGGAAGCATGTGTCCTTTGGTTGATACCGGTAGCGTCAGGTCTGGGCTGTAAGCTCTTCCGCACCTGGCTGGCCGGCTGGTGCTTTAAACTACATGTAGTCCAGGAGTATCGTGAGTACCGATAAGAGATCGATCTGGATTCTGCAATCATCTGTCCAACTACGTGTAGGTGGCCCTTCCCTACGAAGCTATACATGTAGCTGAAAAACTTGGTTGATTAGATCTAGCTAGTGCTAAAGACGGGACTGGTGGCACCACTTTTCCGGCGCTCCTGGGGTTTTTCGCCGAGGGCCCTGGCTGCCCTGCAATTCTTCGTCATCGTACCATCTGGCTGCGGTGGACTTCTTGCGCCAGCCCTTGACTCCCTGCAATGGAATGTACCTGTTGACTGGATCCTTGCAGGATACAGGCAGCCTACTGCCCCAACCGCGGCCCAGCCATGTAGCCTCTCTCCTCCTCACCAAAAGAACAAAGCTTTGAAAACAAAACAGGGGCTTTTCTTCCTCTATCAGACAGCAAGCAAGTTAAAAGGTTGCGGAGAACTTCTCCCATCGTGATGATGACCGTGCATTCCTGAGCTTTCTTTCGTCAATCATCTTTGCAAGCAATCTGTGGCCTTGGTAAATAGTGTCAGCGAAAGCAGCAAAATAAATGGCTGGGTAATTGTACACATGTAGGAGCAGTATCATCATCCGAACGAATCAGAACAGGTATGCTGAACATAGCTGCCAGCCAGTGGGTGGAGACTCGCAGCGCCCTTGCCAACGAGGCAAACCGTTACCGGTAACACACAAGACGGGGAAGAAGCTCTGCCTCTCCCAGCCAACGCAGTCATCCATACCATGCACAGCACTCCGAAGGGAAGCCAACACCTGCCTGCACACATTGAAGCATACAAGATCGGTGAATGTGAACAACTTTGCTTGCACAGCTACATGAATGAAAGCGAAGAAAAGCATCTGAATCGAAGTGAAAGAGGAACAATGTTCCCCGTCCGAAGTCACCAACTTGTCTCCACTAGCTAGCTAGGGTACCAAAGACTCTTTCGCTGCATGCCAGCAGTATTCCTCCGTGCACAGGAGACTTCAGGTTCATTGGGTAAGCTCGTCGTGCTTGGATCCAGCACAATCCATGATCAAGCAGACTTGAATTTCACAAGGATCGCGGCCTTCTCTCCTCGTTGACCTGGTCATTGTCTCTGGGTTTGCCGTACCAGGACAAGAAATACACGATTGGTGTGCCCAAACCCAATGAGGTTGCCATTTGCATCTCTCCCTGATTTTGATCCAGCCCTCCATTGCGAGGGAGATGGTCGCGTCGTTGCTTGACTCGACTCGACTCGACTCGACTCGACTCGTAGGGATGTTTCTTGCAACCAAGCGTGGCTGGAATTGCCGTACCGGTACCCACGAAGACCCTTGGTTCCAGAGTTCGATGGAGACAAATCCTGGGCATGTTCAGCACCTCGCGGTAAAAGACTGGTAACCATGAAAAACCAAAATTGAATTTGTAAAATAGAAGAATACGTTTAAATTGCATCTCTCCAAAGCGCAAGCATGGCCTGATTCCGAGCAAGGCAAGTCAAAACCGAAATTTACAAGGAACAGATCCAGAGGGCTCTCATAGAATACAGTCTTCGGACGAAGACAGGGTCTTATAAAGAAGACGCTGTCTTCGGTTTCCAAAAGAAGATGCTGTCTTCGAAGACGCTGTCTTCGAAGACACCGGTTCTTTTGTCTTCGAAGACGGGGTTCTTTTCCTATCGCCAAGAGTGGAGGTCAGCGATCACACGGAATGGTTCGGTCCGGTCGTGGTTGTGCTTCTGCGATTCGATCGTGCTTTGCAATTGCCGGTTTCGTGTTCTGTATTCTGCCACGCTCCGTTCCAAACAAGGGCAGAATTCACCGTCACTCGTTTGTCAATCTCCACTTCAGAGCTACCGCCAAAATGAATGACTTCAATGATTTGGCTGATCAAATCCTCATTCATGGACTCAAGTTAATGTACACTGAAAGTAGAATCAATAGAGTAAAAGGAGATCCCCACAAATCCAACACTAACATCCAGCGGTTCAAAGATCACTATGGAGCCAAACCAGTAGTTGTGGCAAACATCTGGGAGGATCTTCAAACCACTACTGTGGCTGAGGCACGCATTGACAACCCCAAGATGCTTTCGATTACTCGTTTGTTGGAGTCGCTTCACTTCCTCTACCGCTACCACACTGAATCTGAGAGAGAAGCACGGTATGATAGATCAAAGAAGACAATCAGGAAGTGGACTTGGTACTACCTCGAGAAGATTAGAGCATTGAAAGCTGACAAGATTGTGCTCCCATTAGAGTATCCTGATGATGACGTATGGATCATGAGTGTGGATGGAACTCACTGCATTATTGACGAACCAATCCACCCATTGTTCTCGCAAGATCGAGAATACTTTTCCCACAAGAAGAAGCATGCTGGGCTGTGCTACGAATTGGGCATTGACCTCTTTGAGAGTAGGCTCATTTGGATGAATGGCCTTTCCGGCGGATCAATGACAATGGCAACTTCGTGCAAGGAGGCCTGAAGGCGCAGCTCAATGCCGTTGGAAAGAAAGCTTTGGGCGACAAGATCTACAATGGACACCCAGACGAATGCAGCACCTACAATGCTTTTGATTGTCCAGCAGTCAAGTCATTCAAGAGCAGAGTCCAGATGCGCCATGAGCAGTTCAATGGAATGCTGAAGGAGTTCGGCTGTCTCTTTCACCAATTCCGTCACGGAATGGAGAAGTTTGGGGTGTGCTTTGAGGCCTCCTCTGTGGTTTGCCAATACCGATTGGAGCATGGTGAGCCACTCTTTGATCTTCTTGCAGGGATTAGTCTAGATAATGAGTAAATAATAGTCTTAGTTTGTTTTATTTAGAAGTCTCTGCTAGCTAATATAGTGCTTGCTGTTGCCGTGGACTGTCCTAGCTCTCTATGTCTGTTCTGTCACTTCCTCGATAATCAATTGAAGGACCTTCTGGGCGTCGCTGTCATATCCACGGTGTTTGACAGCAGATAGTGCCTTTTTGCAGTTCTGTTCCAGCGGCTCTACTCCCATGCAACTCGGTCCTAGCACCGACTCTAAGAAAGCCATGGTTGGCACAAAGGAATATTGCTGCAACTCATCCAGCCACACACTGACGCTGTTGTTGATATGTTCAACTTTCATAGGGGCCGCCCCCCGTGGTGCCCGTTTAGGGAGAAACCCAAGCTTCCGGGCAGCTGCTTCGGCACGCTCACCCCTCAAATTCACTTTCATCTTTTTGACTCCTACTTCGATGCCATATTTCACAGCCAAGTCAGTTGCAAGCTGCTGAGCCAATTGAAATTTGTATGTATGGGCAGCAATCCAAGCATCGTCAGCAGGTTTGGCATATCTTGTAGAACCCGGAGTTTTGGGAAGGGGTCCTGCAAAGGGAGATCGTTTGCAGATGGCATCTGCATGCTTTTTGGTAGAAGCAGTAATCTTCTCTTCTGCAGCAGTGAGATCAACAATGTCGATGTTGGCAAAGTCCACATGGGTCTTTGGTTGTGGTTTGCCCGGGGTGACTCTGGCAGTGGTGGCAGTGGTGGCTGGAGCTGCCGTAGCAGTGGTGGCTGGAGCTGCAGTTGGAGCTGCGGCTGGAGCTGCGGCTGGAGCTGCGGCTGGAGCTGCGGCTGGAGCTGCGGCTGGAGCTGTGGCCATTGCGGACTTTGCCATGGACCCAGCTGCAGGAGTGACAACAGTGGCTCGTACCGTGGTGGTTGTGGTTGCTGCATTGGCTGTGGCATCTTCACCATCAGAGTCATTGATTGCAGTCACATCAAACTCCTCTTCTTCTGACTCAGACATGTTGTCATGATCAGCACGCTTGCGTTTTCCAGGTTGCGCTGCCTGTGCGACCTGTTTTGCCTTTGCTGCTGCCTCCTTTGCTGCTCTCTTCCTGGTCCTCTCTGCCTTCCTCGCAGCTGCTTGCTCCTCATTCTGGCGAACCTGAGCTTCCGCTGTGGTCTCTGGCATCACAAGATCTTGGATGAAGGAAAAGGTTTTAAGTCGGTACTGGTTACTGACGGGGATTTTGTTGTACCATTCGACAAGGCTGTTGAATCCATGACGAGGGGTCTTGTAGTCTTTCTGCTTGTTCGCAAGATGAGCCGCAGCTTTCAGAAGTGCCGTCAATCCTTTTTCTGGATCCTTGAACCAGCCATCACCATCAAGGGAAAAGCCAAGCCTACGCAGTATGTCCAAGCCAATCGCCTCCCGGTGCTCCGCAACCAACTCATCAATGAGACGGCGGGCAGCCTTCTGAGATTTTGCCCTTGTCCTAATTATCTTGACAGTTTTCTGAACAGCCTGTGGCTTGTTGAGTTTTTTATTTAGAACCCAAACGATGCGGCCAATGTTGTGTCCGATGCCAAAGTCTTCTCCCCATTGATCAGCCGAAACAACCCTGACAGACTTGTTTTGGTGCACTAGAACAAAGGATTCATTCTTTAGATGCTTTTCTATCAATGCATTCCAGCCGTTCTTGGTAGCACCAAACATGGCTCCAACCAATCTGCTTTCTGAATCCGTTATTCGATTCAAGAGGACTTTGGGCATCTTCCAGTTCCAATCATCTTTGTCCACGAGTCTGCTGTGAAGTTGTTGGATGTGCTCATGGCTCATTGGTAGCATTGCATCTTCATCACTGAAGCCAGAAATGAGAGCTGGCAAACTCATGGTGTGGAGCAACAGATTGGCATAACTGGGCCTTTCAACTGGACCATGATAGCGCTCCCATGTATTATGATATTCCCAGAAGGCCATCCACATGGGATCAGGAGGATTTACCCTCGGTCTCTGCACAGGATTGTTGGTTCGGCCACCACCGCGGCACCACCACCACGGCCACGGCCACGGCTACCTCTGCCATTGCTGCCATTACTGGATCGGCCACCTCTGCCACCACCATGGACATCACTGCGGCGGGCAGCCCCACCACTAGACAGAGTTTTGCGGCCAGGCATCAATTTTCGAGAGGGAGAGAGGAGCAGATTATGTGGATTTCTAGGGTGAGGAGCAGATTTTATGAGAATTCGCTGCTAGCCATGCACCATGCAGGTGAAACCACCACGATGGTGTGGTTTCGAGCGCATGATGGAAACCAATGCTTCACGATCCATGCAGAAATCCAAGCAATCAAATTACGTCGGGGGTTCGATATCGATATCACTCAACAAAATCGAATGACCATTTGAATGAATCGAATAGAAAAAGAACAATCGAATTCGAACATCAGTATCAATCGAATTGATTCGATCAGCGCACCTCTGCCGGCAAGCTGGCCAGCAGTGTCCGGAACGGGCATCGCTGGCTTGCTTTGGAGGTGCGGCTGAGTCCACATAATAAGCCATTGCAGGCTGGCTAGCTTCTCAACCTAAACGGGGGTTTCTCAGGCACACGGCGGAGCGAGGAGGCAAGCTTTCATAATATTCACGGAGCTATTAGCTATTATAGCTACCTGGGTAGCTGTTCAACTAAAATTGCAGCTGAGTGGTGTAGAAAATCTGTATTCACTAGACTAAACGGGGTGTTATGAGACTACATTTTGCCTTCTTCAATACCGATGTCTCCTCCATCGGCATGATCCATTATTTCCTCTTGGTTGGAGGCTCCAATAATTCTTCTCCATCCATCTCAATGTCAGTGTCAGTTTCTTCGTCGCTGCTGGTTTCATTCCAAGAACGCTTTCTCCTGACAGTTGCATTGTCAGAGCTTTCACCATCATCACTGCCACTATCCTCTCCTAGCAGTGCATTTATATCGTCCTCTGCGAGGAGATCGTCAAGGCCTGCTTCATTTTCAGAAACAAACTTTTCAAGATCGGCAATCATGGCATCACACCAAGCAATGTCGCCACCCTTTTCTTCTTTCAGCAATTCATGTGCCTTTTCCATTCGGCGAGCATGGCGGTAAGCATCAACTGAGTCTTCATTGTCCGAGCCTTCATCGTCTGTGTCCGCCTCTGAATCTGTATCAACGCTTTCCTCAGTTGGGGTTTTTGACTTTGCCATTATTTCTTTTGTCTTCTCATGGGAGGTATCTGCGGCAACGATAAGACCCTGGAGGAAGTTTTCATCAATGCCAGGGGTGGGGTTTTTCAATCTGGCTTGGTTCTGCTTCTCTGCTCTCCTTTCCTTCCTCCTCTGCTCCGCCGTGTAGGCACGTGAAACTCTGCTACTTGGGCGTGGCTTGAATGAGTTCTTGCGGAGCTCTTCTGTCATCTCTTGAGTGTCCCTTGTAGGTGGATTGGGAGCCAGGCTACCTGTTGGGGCAGCAGCAAACAAGACCGATGGCATGCCTTGAGGAACCGGTGAAAGTTTTGGCACTGTCTCCAGACTGAATACGGGGCTAGGCTTTACAGGTGCGATGCTAGCCACTGGGGCTGTTAGCATTTCAATATCGCAGATCTTCATCCGCTCTTCTTCTTCAGACTCCTCGTCTTCAGACTCCTCCTCTTCAGACTCCTCCTCTTCAGACTCAGAGTCCACAGGAGCAAGCACAGTATCATCATTATGAATAGATATACCTACAGCATACACGAAGGTGGAATAACACAAAAGATTCATTAGTAACTTTACTTTTCGCAGCACACAGAGCTCTTAGCCAAGTGTCATACCATTCATTAATGCCTCTAGTTGGCGAGCAGCATTGCTCTTCTTCTCTTTCTTTCCAACCTTCCCCATTTTGCGAGCCTTCACATCAATTCGTGCCACTTTCCATGATGCAAACATAGAAGTGTATTTCAGCTTGGGATTCTTGGGATGTTTCACAGTGATGGGAAGCAGCAGGGGCTCCAGCTCGACAACATCATTATCATAGATTTCCTTTGTGGACAAGTGGACATCTTGTTCAAACTCCAAAATTAGATGCTTCCACTTTCGGTCCTCATAGACTTCACAAGTCTTCTCATCAATCAGATCATGCATAGCACCATCCATGGCTTCCAAATCATTCTTGGTTACACACTTTTTGAATTCATCCCTGTCATGAAGTGCTGAGTAATTCCAAGCTTGTATCGAAAGTAAGAGCTTGTTCTTTGCTATGACCGAAACCTTCCAGTGAGTGGTCTCGTCGTCATCCAAAATGTAGCGGAAATCAATGGGCATAACTATCCAGAATCCGCTAAAGAGCTGGTTCTGCTTGTCGCCAACACCCTGGATCCTGTCTAGTTCATACACCATAACTTCTCTGTTTGCCTCTGGACGTTCAGTGTTGACCTTGATAGTGAATGAGTTGTCACGAGACATGGTTGTTGGCTCTGGCTTCTCAAAAAAAAATGATGCGGGCTTGGTGATTGCGGGTTTTGGCTTCTCACTAAGTGAAGGGATGGACTTGGTTCTTGCTGCTGTCCTGCTGGGTTTAGGTGGGGGGATTTGGCTTGGTGTTGGTTCCGGTGTTGGTACGTCGAAGCTAGAGTCTGCTGTGTGGCTAGCAGTATCTTCAGTAGCTGTATCAGCAAGAACAAGGGGAATCACAACCTGTTCACAATATTTCTCAGGCGAGTAGTTCTTCCACTTGTGGAACAAGTTGCGGACCTGTCGACGTTCTGTGCTGCCACGTTTTCCGTAGAGATGCTCCTTTTGTTTGAGGATTTGGTCAAGTGTTTTTCCGTCGTTTTCAAGCCCAATAGCTTCTATGCCACCAGCTCTATGGATGTCCTTTGCCAGCTGCTTGCGGATATGTAGAGAAACTCCTCGAGCTGAGCTGCTCTTGTGATTGTCCTTGTTGGTGCTATTGCTGTTGAGCATTGTGAGAAGAGATGATGATAACTTTTTGAATGAGGATCCCAAGTGCCCGAAAAGACACGAGTTGATCAGCGACGATCCTGTCTTGCAATTTCCCTTCGGGACTGGTGCTATCAAAGCCAGCAAAAACGGCTGGTGGGAGCTGAAGTTAGCGATTGAAACTTGAACCGGGACTTTGTACCACCGGTACCGTAGATTTCAAATTTGCGTGCTACAACACGACGACATGTCCAATCGCTAGCTTGAGCTAAAATACCGTAATAATGAGGTGGCTGGCACGGAAGGAATCGAATGAATCGAGTTATCCGTTTGCACGAACAAATTGGCGAATCGAATCGAATCGAATGAATTGGTGGGGCTGACTTGTGGCTCGAGATGTGGGTCCGTACCTTCTCGATTCGATTCGAGAATCACGTAAATACGCATTTCCAACACTGTTTTGCCAAGATCGTGAACTTTGGCACTGTCTTCCTCTCCACAAAAGAAACTGATCAGGAGCCCACAGCCATGCCACCAAGGACGAATAAGGATGGTGGCCTGAGATGGGATAAAGATCATCCAGCCAGGATTCTCCTCTACAAGGAAATTGCAGAAGGCAGGATTCCACTTGATGAGGAGGAGATGGGACCAGCTGAAGTCTGGTGTACGTATCATGACACCATTGAATTTCAAATGGAGGGTATGAAGTTTAACAGTGCATTTAATCGACGTTTAAGGAAGTTGAGAGAGCAAGTAGTAGAAGATAAAGAGCAGGGAGGAAAGAAGAAAACGCTGACTTGGGACCAAGATCATCCAGCCAGGATTCTTCTCTACAACGAAATTGCAGAAGGCAGAATACCTCTTGACGCAAAGGAGATGGGACCAGCTCAAGTCTGGTGTGCCTACCATGACACAGTTGAGTTTAAAATAGAGGGAATGAAGTTTAATGACACGTTTGCTACTCGCTTAAGTGGTTTGAGAGCAATTGTCAAGAGAGATCAAGGTAGGGCCGCAAATGATAGGAATGCTCTGGAAAATGCAATGAAGAATCACCCCGTGCCCATGCTGAATCACCGTGGTGAGCCTCAATGGAATGGATCCTCAGCACAGAAACTGTTGCAGCAGGACATGGCTGAAGGAAAGCATGAGACCATGCGGCCTTCTGAGCTTTGGGAGACAAGACCAGAATACAAAGAAGCCTTCTCAAGAAAGGATGACTTTAGGTGGAAGATTAGGCAAGAGATTCGCACCAAGAAGTATCTTTACACCCTTGAATACCGTGCTGATGAAAAACTCCGGAAGAACCTGAAAAAGCAAGGCATTGTGTTGCCAGGATGGGAGGACGAGGAAGTCTTGGATTCAGAAATGGAAGATATTTAGCGGCTAGAGTAATTTATACCTGTAAAGTTCATTACGTCAAATACGCGTCGGCTGCACCTCTCCTCTACCAACCTATTACAGTGGTTCTGATAGTGTGACTTGGGCTTCCCACGAAGCACTGCCTCTTTGGTGTGGCAGTGGCTATTTTTCCTGTTGGAGTTGTTCAGCTAGTCGAGCACAGTTCAATCACGGAAGAGCTTTTCTAATTTTAGCGATTTCTCCGAACACAATTGTCTGCATTCCATTCGTGTTCTTTGGAAGACAGCATCTTCGACTTCAGTGTCCAGCTAGACTTCGAAGATGCCTCGTCGAAGACAGTGTCTTCTGTTGAAGATTCTGTCTTCGAAAGAAGACACTGTCTTCGAAAGAAGCCCTTGTCTTCTTCAAGATCCAGTGGAGTCTTGAGCCAGTCCACACCTTTTCCCACGCAGGTAAGGTCAAATAGAGAGCCTGCCCTGACTGCATCTGCCGTGTCATTATTCTCTAAATCAAGCCCACAAAAAGAAGAAAAGGGGAAAATGACCCTGGAAGCATTTTTACCTGGAGGTGCAGAGACGCTCGATTGGTGTTGTAGGAGGTGTTGAAGGTGACTCGATTACCCGGGACTTGCATTGCCGCACAAGTGGGTGGGCATTGGATCTCCTACTCTACTAGCTAGCTAGCTAGGATCTAGATTTCCGTACTAGAGTAGTATTTCTAGCTAGAAAGAATAGCTTCGGTCTATCCACTCTGGGAATTCCTCCAGTCGGGCACACGTCATTCCTTCAGATTTACACTTCTACCTTGAACAGTACTACTGGTACCGCAACAACAACTGCAACCAGTTTCCCGACGGGTCCCGTCATTGCTGTTGTTGTCTTGATTTATGCATTTCTTCGCGTCTAAAAACGTTTCAAGCCCTTTCCTGTGGACAAAGCCTTACCAGGTCCAGAAAGGACCCTTCCTTGGCATTCTACTGCCTCTCTTCAAAGAAAACAGAGACAGACTGACAGAAGCACTGCACAATTTTAGTGAAAAGTACCAGTGTACATGGGGTGGCCCATTGCCTCATATTGGAGCCATGAGTGGCTCCTTCTTTTGCACTGTTGAAGCAAAGAACATCGAGCATGTTCTAGGCAGCAATTTTGAAAACTACGAAAAAGGAGATGGTATTCGAAGTTTGTTTGGAATGGGAAATGGGATCCTTGTGGCTGACGGACCAGCCAACTTGGTATCGCCACAGAAAGATTGCTTCCCGCATGTTCTCTACTAACCTACTACGAGAGGGTTCCAAAGTCACATTGAAGAAGGTGAAAGAGCTTTCAGCTCTCCTGAATGTTGCCTCGAGCACTGGACAGGAGGTTGACTTCCAAGATTTCTTCTTTCGCATGACCTTGGATATCACATGTGTTCTGTCATTTGGGTTAGAATATGGGAGCCTCCAGAACAAAACACAGCATCCTTTTACCCTAGCATTTAACGAAATGCAGCAACTCTTGGTTGAACGAATCACAGATCCTTTGTTTGAGCTAAAACGTTTCTTCAATGTGACCAAAAGAGAAAAAAGGATTGGTGAGCTCAAGGTCATCCTTGATGAGCATGCCAAGGAAATCATCCAGGGACGAAGACGCACAGCCGAGGACGGGAAACTTGGTCCAGACATTCTTAGTCGATTCATCGATTATGCCACCAAACATAATGGCCCATTCCAGATAAGGAACTAAGGGATGTGGTTATGAATTTCTTGGTGGCTGGGCGTGACACCACTGCTGTAGCTCTCTCCTGGACACTCTTTGAGCTCAGCAAGCATCCTGAAGTAGTGGAGAAGATGTTAAAAGAGGCAATGGCGTCTGTGGCAGGATTGATGGTGACAACGATGGAGATTACTCATTCAACACAATTCAAAAGCTGCAATACATGGATGCCATTGTGATGGAGGTTCTTCGATTCCATCCTTCTGTTCCTGTGACACTCAAATATGCCATCAATGATGATGTCCTACCTGATGGGACCTTTATTCCCAAAGGAGCCATGATGGCATTGCCGCCTTTTGATGTTGGAAGGAGCTGTCAGGTTTGGGGCAGTGATGCTGGTGAGTTCAAACCTACCCGGTTCTTGAACCAGAAGAATCAAACTGCATCCAAATACTCTACCTTCCATGCAGGGAAAAGTTTTTGTTTAGGGAAACCCATGGCCCTCAACACCATGAAGTTGACACTGGCCTAGTATCTGATTCAAAGGTTTGAATTCGAAGATATCCAAGGACATGATGGAGCCGATGAGGCCTTTTCTATGATGAGGAGCATGAAGGGAGGCTTTCCCATGAAAGTCACATTGAGGCAACCGTAACATACTAGCTAGGAGGTTTGTTTGATAGTAGAAAGTGTTTTGGATAGTAACGAATACGGGCTGATGTTGCAGTCCGTGCAATGCACGTGTTTTGATTGTACCTTATTAGCTACGGTACTTCTTCATGTTTGACCGCGCGTTGTACTGGTAGATATTCAAAAGAAGGCTGGCTTCTGTAGGATGACGGCTTGTGGGCCGCATCCGAGCACTGACCTGCCATCGTCGGCACCTACAGGGCCTACCGTATTTGATGGAAAAGGAGCGAAATGGTAATGAGTGATGGGTATGATGATGGCTATCAAGGTCGACTCAGCCACATAACGTGATCAGTGGTCGAGAGAGCGGCTTCAGACGATTGCAACTCGTACTGCATAAACCAAGTGTTGGGGCGTAGCTAGCTAGTAGCTTGGCTAGCTGGCTCTCATCCGGCTCGATTGCTTAATGGTTGCTTCGTCGCTCTCGAGTCCTTGCCCTCTGCATCGCTCTGTCTACCGTCGACTTGCTGCTACGTGTTCAAAAGGAGCTCTAACGTTGAACCAGTACCAGACTGGTACTGGTACCAAATCAAACAGCCCAATGCAAAAGATACACGTGATGATGTGGCAGAAGCGTTAATTAACTATGACGTTTTTGGGAAAGAGACTGTTATCGCATTCTTTCCCCTGTCTTTCTGCGTCGTCCAACTTCAAAGCTGCAATAGCTGCTGCATACGCTTCGCTTCGCCACGCAACTCCACTCCCTCTTCCTCCACCCTTCCCACAACATTATTCTTTTCTCTCTTATATCACTCATCGCTGCTAGCTAGTAGCTAGAAGAAAGTCAATCCAAGTTTACACACAGGACAGCAAGATGTCAAAGTATGTTCCTTATGTTCCTCTTCCGGACAACCTTGCCATTCCCCTGGGTGTCCTCCTCAGCATCTCGAGTTTCCTCTCGTTGGTTGGATCCTCGTGTATTATTTACATGACACGACGAGATCTGTCTCAAATGGTGCAACGGCTCCTCCTGTACATTAGCATCTCGGATGTCTGCTTGACTTTGACCCTTTTGATCACGCCATTTGCCTTGCCGCAAGAGTTGGATTACAGTTATGCCGCCTTTGGAAACGCTCAGACCTGTTCGGCTGCTGGTTTGTTTCTGGCAACGTTTGTGTGGACCGGATGTTGCTATAGCTGCTACTTGAGTCTCTACTATTTGGCCACGGTGCGCTACAACTGGAAAGAACCCAATCTGGCACGGCGAACATCCAGACTGAAGCTTCCCAAACGAGAGATTGTGCTGCATTGTGTCACCCTGTTGGTACCCATTATCATGGGCAGTATCGGTCTCGCGGCACAAGTCATTCATCCAACAGCCATTCTCCCCATTTGCTACTTTACAGTCTATCCCTATGGCTGCACAGGTCAAGACGAGGACTACGACGATGATCGCATGCAATGTGAAAAGTACAACCTAGTGTTTCGATTGGTGGCGGCAGCTTCATTCCTCCAGGGAGCTGTCACCATTACCAGCTATGGAGCCACCTTTTGGCTGTACTGGACGGTCCGACAAAAGCTGCGACAGTCGGCTCAATTTCAGTTCAAAGGAAGCTCTACTACGGCCAAATCCAGCATCAGCACCACCACCAATCCAGGTTCTTCCATTACCAGCAAACTTGCCAATAGCCTCACCAGCAGCAACACCCAACCTGCTGAAGAGAACCCGTTTCAAAAGAGAATTCTGCAGGTCCGAACTCAAGCCATTCTGTACGCCCTCATCTACTTTAACTCTGGAATTTGGTTCACGGTCTTGGGTGGATTGAGCGGGGTCATGGACCCACAGCAAATCCAGGAACAAAAGTCACAGCCCTTCCTCTACACGCTCCAGGTACTGTCCGCCTTTTTCGGTCCACTCCAAGGCTTTTTGAATTTCTTTGTCTACATTCGTCCCAAAGTGGCACGATGGAGGACCGTCGAACCAGACATGTCTTTGGTTTGGATCTGGCGTCAAATCTTGGGCGGAGTCGAGATTCCCACGTCGGCCGCAGCCGCCAAACGACGACGGAACAAGGAGCAAAAAGACAAGCAGGATGCCCTGCAAGGACAACAAGATACAGATCATACGTCCCGAATGAGCTTTATGGATAATCATCATCATCATCCTGTTCCACTAACGGTGACAGAGGAAGAAAAGCAAGAAGAAGAAGAAGAGAGGATGCAGGCTGCCACCGATCCAGCCGCGGTATGCAATGATGCACCAACGCACAGACCCCTCAAAATGGAGGAGTATTCTAGTTTGCAAGTTGTTGGGTCGATGCGCCCCGTGACAGAGGAGAGACCCACTTCGACCCGCACAGAGGACAAGGGTCCGGCATATGCACAGCAATCAGACGCTACCCAGGAGGGTACACAACACTTATCCTCGGGCGAGAACGACGAAACGGACGCACCAGAGCTGGACTCTGTTGAGCCGCCGAAGACGACTGAACTTGGCACGTTGGGTGAACCATCTTACGGTGTGCAGGCTGTGGCATCAGAACTGGCTGACAAGGACGACGGCAATGCACAACCTGAACAGAATAGACTGGCTCCCGTAGCGCCTCTGCTGGTTGAGGAAGAAGAAGATTCCAACATGAACGAACTATTCGTCAACAATTCTCCTATCGCCCAAACGATAGAACCAGTTCAGGCCCAAGACGAAGCGTCCGGCATAGCCAACCCGTCATCAAACATTGTTTCCGATTGCAGCCATGTGGCAACACCGACACAGTAGAGAACAACCGAGTATGCTACTAGGCAGGCAGTTGCAAACATGGCTACAAGAGAATACATGTTGCTGTAGAAGCATTTTCGCCACTCTCTCCCCGATGGACCTAAAACTTTCGATTCAAGGCTTTGCCTCTGTCCCTGTCTGAAGAGCATCTCGTCTCAGCTCCATTGAGAACTCTACTCTTTACCCACTGCATCTTTTTAGAATTAAACCATCAATCTGACACTTTTCAGTTCCAGCACGTAGAGTACCCGACATTGGTAAGGGAGCCGCTCTTTGCATGCAGCGCCGTGTCGGGTCCGGTAGAGTCGATTGAAAGCGACTGCTCCCATATTGATTCGTCACTGTCCTCGTGACTAGCTCGATCATTGCAACAGGTCGTGTTACCTTGTCCATCTGTTCCTTGCACGTGACCCATAGAGGTCTCCCTTCGCCACACCCGCTCAGTTGCACATTGGCCTCTTGCGCAATCAGCTCTGATGTGACACCGTAGTAGTCCTAAGTGCGTCCTGTTGTTTGATCGCGTCATAGCCCATGACACTGATTGTAAAAGGAAGGACCTTTCTCTGCATGGATCAACCACAGTACTTTCACAAACGGATTGCACAGCCATTCTGCCTGTTCACTACTGTAAGACTTGAAACAAAGCATATCCTTGGGGCAAGCGAGAAAAGGCAATCGCCGCCCTTTCTCTGAATGGTTTTCTCAAAGTTTTCTTCTCCGCCGGGGCTGGCTTAAGATCTGTGGGTTACTGCTGAGCATGAACTGACAGTGGTGTACTGTATAACCTGGGACTTCGGTTCGAGTTAGACTAGCATCCACCAGCGAACGCTCGCTGCACTTCCAGGTGGTATGGTACAGTTAACGCTCGCTTATATTTATAATCTTATATTTATTCGCTCTATAATATTTATTATATCTCGAGTTCCCCCCCCAGTCACTCGTGAGTGACTGTGAATGATGTCAGTACACGTAGCAGCAAAACAATCGCTCGCAATCCATCGCAAACGGTCCAATTCGACAGAGACATACGTGTAAATGCCAATGCATGCCAATGCATGCCGATGAGGTGCCGATGGGAGTTCGCTTGCCTGTCCATTCTCTGCCAGTCCGCGCAAATCTTCGTTCGTGGGGTTTTTCATGGTGTTTTCGCGAGATTTGCGCAGAATGGCAGAGAGGAGACAAAAACAATTCTCTGAGCAACAAAACAAGTGCAAGCAAACCATAACAATTCCTCCAATCCGACCTAGACCAACATGAACGGCGCCAACATGAACGGCGCCAACATGAACGGCGCCGATTCAACCGCAACGAAGAAGAAAGGAGCGAAGAGGGGACCGAAAGCAGGTTCAAAGAACGATGTAGCCAAGGCGAAGAACAGATCTGACTGGTACACGTCCTCCTCCTCCTTCCACCAATCCACAATCCACAGAATAGAATGTTGGATACACGAGTTGGTCGCTCCATACGTCCGTACGTCTACCGGTACAGCGGTACCCTCTGACTGGCCAGGCTTTAAATCTTTGTAAAAGGGGCATCACCCTCACTAGATCATCCAGTTGACACGTTCTTGACACAGCAAGCTTGAGATTTGAGATGGTACCAGCATACTGATGTACAACCAGAGCATGCCTTTACTTGTACAGTACTAGTACGGTACTTACGACTATTGTAATAGAATCCAAGGTTTCTCTGTTTTTGTCAGGCTGCATCCGACAACTTCTGATGAACATGCTGTTATCCAAGGTTTTTGTCATGGCTGTGTGAGGCCACAGGCCAGGCATCTGACAACTAACTTCTGATGAACAAAAGAGCTCCTTCATCACCATGTCATGGGTCAACCTGTTCGCAGTCAGCAGCCGGCAGTCCATAATACATTGACTATCATCGCTCACCTATCATCATAATAATATCATAGCTGGTATTAGACTATATCATCATTGTCGACCTGGAGAACACTGTTTCAGCAACTTCTTTGGAGTTTGGAGTTTTCGATCAATCTTTAGAAGTACATGACATGTATTCGCTTCTTCGTTCAACCGATTCTGAAGAGGGAACCTCATGGAAAGTTGGGGCATCTTGAATTTGTTATGAAAGTGCACATAGTATAGCTCTTACTAGTAGAGTATCATATATATATATTATTTGGTTACTTGGTAATGCGCTGTTGAGAAAGTAGGCATGAAGGATTAAGTTCTTAGTGCACCAATACTTCACAAAAAGTTTATAGTAAGAGCACCTAGTAAAAGCCGTCTTCAACAAGGTGTCAAAGCGGCTCACAGCGAGAAAAAGTGGTCAAGGTATGAAAAACAGAAAGAGAAGAGTGCCTGCAGTACCGTAGTAACTGAGTAATTGATGCTTTACAATTCGTGCTACACGTAATACAAACTACGGTTAGTTTTTGCAAATCAATGGCATACCGGTACGTTTTAACGATGATAAGGTCTCTGCTTTGACACGATTTCATTCTGCTCTATCATAAATCTCGGTTCCACCTAGTTCAAAAGAATTCAATCAAGCCTGTTCCGGGTTATTAATTGAAGAAGTGCCGTAATCCTTGACCACCTGTACCCCAACCGAAGGGGTCTGACAGCTCTGACGCTGAATCCTTCATGATGTGGTTCTAGGCTTAACAGTCCCTTCACAGTCGCCGAAATGAGGGATTGCGTGGCTCGTGTTAGTTCCCCTTTCCCCAAGCTTGCGGGTACGTGCTCTTGTACCGCAACAGGAGTGGCAGATGGCCGAGGATCCCAAAAGAAGATCTTGCGTTGACGCGTTGACAAAAAAGCTCTCTGCACCGTAAAAGCCTCTGATCCCACATTTTTTATCCAACCCAAAAACCCAAGCACATCCCAGTTCGTTTCTTTCACACTTTTTTTATTGCAATCATTCAAATAATGCTCCGCAAAGTACACAATATCATGAGCAATAACAACGACAACGACAACAACAACGCAACCATGACGCACAGTAACCATACCCCCTGCACAGTCGGTACCAGCGAGGCGGCAATGGACGGATGCCGTAACCGCCGCCGTTCCTGGATCAAGAAGACCATGGGCCGTCCTCTAATGTCGGCTGCCGATGTGGCCCCTTTCCGTCGAACTCTGATGGGACGCATTGTGGGCAAGGTTATTCGCGTCAAGGTGGATACCCCTGATGAGACGGACAAGAGCAGCATCAGCAATGGAAGGAAGGGCGGTGTCCTTCGAAGATCGTCACTGTTCCTGAGCAGCATTACCATGGCGGACTTTAAGAATCCCGCACTCTTTCACAAGGAAGAAGAAGAAGAAGACGAGGAGACCACCCACCACTGCTCGGCAAGCACCTTTGGAGAAAGTGGGTCTCTTCGCTTTGAACTATTGGAACTGCAACAGAGTGACAGTCTTCCTTCGGTTCCCAAGCGACGAAACTCCCGAGCGGGTGTCGTGGATACAAAACCCAAGGTACCCATGCGAAATAAGAGTGTCAACCGTGTCCCATGGTAAATGAAAAAGAACCAGCCATTACCGGTTAATCCCAAAGCTCTTGCAAGCATTTTGATTTGAATAAACAACTATTAGCTACACTCTAGACTTACTTTGACCCAGTAATACTACATGTAGCTAGACAACATCAAGCATACCGTATGTTTCAGATGGGCTACTAGGCTAGTAGCTACCGTAGTCAAGCTGCCTGATAGCAGCTGGGTTCCAGAGCCCCAGCCTTATCCTCGCTGGAAGAGGTGCTTTCCCGAGGCTCCTTTCAAGTACTTTGAGGCGTATGCTAGGCCGGCTCCGTTCTTGCAGCCAGAATCGTTCCCGGACTTACTTGGGAGTGTGATCTTTGCATGGATCCTGGTCAATACGGTACTAGTAGCATACAGCGAGGATTGGGTTGAGCCAGACCAAGGTGAGCGAGCACTTGGGGACTAGAGTTGGCCTTACATGGCTAGCTGCCGGCATCTAGCTTGTTACATGCAACGTTCCTCACAGGGCATCATTACAGAGTGGATGCCGCCTCTGGCGGAGAAACTTGCTGAAGCTGGCTGTCTCTGGCACCTCGTCCAGTTAGTTGTCCGCTCCATCAGCCCAGCTTCCAGCAGCGTCTTCAATCATTCAAAGTTCTCCAAGCAGGCCCAAAACGACATCATGCCGTGCACAATATTCGCTCATGGTGCCACCGCTCTGAGTTCCTTCACTTACTTCCCTGACCACATCACGCAGCAGCCGTGTTTGGTAGTACCGCGCTGATGACCCTCCAATCAACGAAGAGAGGGAAACATGGAGGAGCCTCAACAGAAAGATGAAGCAACCCTTATCCACATCCTTCCCTTGCTGGGTCCTGCCGAAGTACTACGTGACTTTGCTGCTGGGCATGGCCATTGCCCACCCTGACACATGTCTATAGGTGCACCAAATGCTCGTTGGTCGCCCTCAAGCACATCTTATCTGAATCGAATCCGTTAATAGACGTGCAGTTTTTTAACATGGGTGCACACTCAAGGCTGGAGGAGGTCAGCCTTCTAATTTGGGTGAGCCCGGTGCCGCCCCCATCGCATTCTCCACCACAACCATTGGCTCCAGAACTGAGATTCTAGATCGTTGTCCGTCAACTTTTGAGTCTGAGCCCTGACAGTCCCTCAACTCCGGTTCCAAGCGCTTAAGTACCACAAGGCAAAGCACCACTCCGGAACGCTCCGCTCGCCGCCCGGTGTGATGATGCGCACAGGCAACAGGATCCAACTCACAATGCTCATGATCCCTGTCATTCATAATGAGGCAGCATAGTTGGGACTTCATTGCTTGGGCGAGGATAGTAGGATTGTACTGGGGCGTGCAGTACTGTATGATTGGCTGGTGAGTATCCCTGCGCTGACCTCACAAAGGGGAATGTGGGTATTCCCATGTTGGAATCAATGATGCTCTGGGGAAAAGATTTGCTGGCTGCTGGTGCTGCTGGGGCACGCGGTTCAGTTGTTGGACCTGGTTCAGAGCAGGGGCTCACAGTTGTTGGACTTGAGTTGCTGCGGCTAGCCATGGTGGTCGATCAAGTTGGAAAGCTTGCTCCTTGGCACCGGTACGGCCATTCCTAAGTTGTGGTGGACGACGGGGCGAAACTGGCTGGGCTCACCCGCAGGCATTGTGGGGGGCAAGGTGCAGATGCTGCCTGGGATCCTGGCTGTAGGGTGCAGGCTGTAGAGTCAAGTCCCAGTGCCTGAAATCAGTCAGCCAACAACTACCAATCAGTCAACAACTACCTAGAGGAGAAGCATTTGCAGCCCATGCAAGGGTTTTCGCTCCGGATAAAAATTTACTGTAATCTCAACTCGAAGGGCCAGCAGCAGTGTAAGCTAGCCAGCTAAGCTGGATGAGCGATTTAGGTTTTGTGGCGGGTGCGTGCTCATTTCGTCGTTGCTGTGGTTGCTTCCAACACATGGCTGGCATCCTAATCCAGTTCAACAACGGTTAGCCCTAGCTGGCTAGCTAGGTACTACGGCGGGCCCCACAAGCCGAGCTATGTGTAGATTGCAATGCTGCGAGGGCATTCCAACTGTCTACCGGTATCTGTGGCTAGCTAGTACCGTAGGGGCAGCTCTACGAGAACAGAGAACACATGATGATGGTTGTCCCAGCCAGTGGCAGCCCCCAAGTTCAGTCTACATCATGTACCAGGTAGTGCGGTAGTGTTTGGCTCAACTCCTGCTCCTTTCCCGCCTTATTGGAGATTCTGAGGCTTCTTTGGTTTGGCGCTGCTGCTCTGCGGCGCCATCTCTGTGTTGCAAACTGCAAACGGAGAAGCGAAGGACACCGGAGAAGGTACCGGCGTCATGAGATTCTTCTAATAAGTCAGCGGGAGCTGCGATACCTCGGCAGAAAGACTAAGTCAGCGGGAGCTGCGATACCTCGGCAGAAAGACAGATAGAAGAAGTATGACATGTTTGAGATTACACCCTTTTTTCAAGGTACCGGTAGCCCTGGCGACAACACCCGACTTCGTCGTGTGTTGCCGCCTGGTATCATTCCCTCAATATAACCTTCTTTTTTATTTAGGCTAGCCCTGGTGACAACACCCGACTTCGTCGTGTGTTGCCGCCCGCTAACCATAATTTTAAAGCTGTCATTCCCTTATATAACTGTAACTTTTGTAGCTTGTGCTGGCTTATTATGCTGAGTGCACTAACCTTGAATAATCATGATTTATTCCTACCCTTAAATTTGTAGAACCTTCAATTTTCAGTTTGGTTGGCTTATGACTATCTCTATCCCTATATTTTGGCTTCACCGGAATAGGAAATAGTAATTAAGTCAGCGGGAGCTGCGATACCTCGGCAGAAAGACAAATAGAATAAGGAGGATCATGTTCGAGATTGCACCTTTCTTTCAAGATAGCCCTGGCGACAACACCCGACAACACCCGATATCATTCCCTCATTGTAACATTTTTTATTTTAAAAAGCTAGCGGGCGGCAACACCCAACGTATTGCCGCCCACTAAAAATAATTTTACAGCTGTCATTCCCTTATGTAACTGTATCCTTTGTAGCTTCTGCTGGCTTATTGTGTTGAGTGCACTAACCTTGAATAATCATGATTTATTTCTACCCCTAAATTTGTAGAACCTTCAATTTCCAGTTTTGTTGTCTTACACCTATCTCTATCCCTATATTTTGGCTTCACCGGAATCGCATTAAAGGGGTTGAGAACTCAGGCAGTTAACCTGCCGAGGTAAAAAGAAGAAAGAGGATCTGTTTGAGATTGCACTCTTCTTTCAAGGTAGCCCTGACGACAACACCCGACTTCGTCGTGTGTTGCCGCCCGGTATCATTCCCTCATTGTAACATTTTTTATTTAAGCTAGCGGGCGGCAACACCCGACGTATTGCCGCCCGCTAACCATAATTTTACAGCTGTCATTCCCTTATGTAACTGTATCCTTTGTAGCTTCTGCTGGCTTATTGTGTTGAGTGCACTAACCTTGAATAATCATGATTTATTCCTACCCCTAAATTTGTAGAACTTTCAATTTTCCAGTTTTGTTGGCTTACGCCTATCTCTATCCCTATATTTTAGCTTCACTGGAACAGGAAATATGAAATAGGAAATACCGAAAAAGGGGTAGAAGGCTCAGGCAGATAGACTGCCGAGGTATAAGTCAGCGGGAGCTGCGATACCTCGGCAGAAAGACAAATAGAAGAAGTATGACATGTTTGAGATTGCACTCTTCTTTCAAGCTATGTCTGGCGACAACACTTGACTTAGTCGGGTGTTGTTGCCAGGTATCATTCCCTCATTGTAATCATCTTTTTTATTCAGGCTAGCCCCGGCGACAACACCCGACTTCGTCGTGTGTTGCCACCCGGTAACCATAATTTTACAGCTGTCATTCCCTTATACTGTAACTGTAACATTTGTAGCTTCTGCTGGCTTATTGTGATGAGTGCACTAACCTTGAATAATCAGGATTTTATTCCTACCCCTAAACTTGTTAAACCTTCAATTTCCAGTTTTGTTGGCTTACACCTATCTCTATCCCTATATTTTGGCTTCACCGGAACAGGAAATAGGAAATTGGAAATAGAAAATAGAAAATAGGAAATAGGAAATAGGAAATAGAAAATAGAAAATAGGATATAGGAAATAGGAAATATCTTCACAACACCGGTCGTCTACCCAAAATGCATTTCGCGCCATTTTCCAATTCTGAGTCAACAGTTAAAGTTTTTCAACCGATGTTAGTACTGCACACGAAAAACATCTAAGTAATCTACTTCCAGACGTCTGATTCCACTCCCTAGCAATGGTATACGTCAAACTGTAGGACCCAAGCTCGTTACCGCGGATTGACAACCCCAATCCACCTCGGTCCTCCGTCCATTTCCTGGCACCCTTCCAAAGAGTGTTCTCAGCCCAAACCCCCTCACAATTCCCATCAAAGCACCATCCAAACACCCTGACCGATTCTGAGTTCGCCAGCAATGGTATCCTCTCAAGGATCGTCGTCGCTTGAAGAAGTCCATGTAAACTTCTACGCTTCATCTTCTAAGTCATGCCAGTCCAAGCATATCAGCACCGCCTCCAAGATCCAGCCCTATTTGAACCAACTCCAGATCCGACTTGGTTTACCAGGTGTTAGCTACGAAGATATCACTGAGACAGGAGGCGCTTTCTCAACCAACGATGACGATGTAACAAAGTGGTGGTTTTTATTTTTTGACGGTCAACCAGCCTTTTGGTTCAGTCTCAAAAAGGCCGACGGAACAGCCTATGCAGTAGGCACCCTGGAACGGTACATGCCGTCTATCAAGAACCAATTGACAAAGAAGTTCATGCTGTCCCGCTACCTGAAAGTTATTGAAGAAACCTACGCCTCAGCCTTCAGTTCCTTGAAAGCGAAAGTCAAAGACCGGAAGAAAGCATCCCCCCTAGCAACACAAAACAAAGTCTACTCCAGTACAGACATTGCATTCATCCTCCAACGCTGCCTCTGGTTCAATCTAGAAAATTACA